CTGGTGACATTCCGGCAATACTGTGAGAAAAAATGAAATATCACCGCTAGCTGCAACAACTTCCGGTGACATTCTGGCAATACTGCCAGAAAAAACTTTCTGGCAACATCTAGGATTACCCATGAACCATTTGTTGAGCATGCTCAGTCATTTACTTCCTCTTTTTAAATAAAGTGGAGGGAATTCAAAGGCAAGCATGTTTTGCTTCATTACTGACTTGTATCAAGTTGATTAGAGTTGTTAATTGTGTACAGTGGGATTAGTCAAGATGAGTAGTAAGACTGCATTATGTGGACTGACTAGAAAAAAGAATTTAAGCAGAATTATAGGAATGTGTATACTCTAGCTGTTTCCATATCATCAGACTTGGTGAGTCAAAACCAATATTCTTTTTGAGATGTCAATGATTCAATGGAGATAAAAATTGGAAAAATTATACATGTTATATGTGTTTCAATTAGTGCTTGTGATGCATGCATACTAGACTTGTATGTCTATATATCCTAGAGTAGCAGGAAAAGATGAATTAAAGCATGTTATTTGAAAATAAATGCAGAGTTGCTGGACATTTTCACAGTGGCATATTAATATTGTTTCTATAAACATTTTTATACCTGTCTCGATAGATCGGGGGTACATATTGTTTTTGTCCTGTCTGTCTGTTTGTAAACTTGAACCTTCACCATTACTTTTGAACCAATGAGAGATAAAGATTTCATATTTGGTATGTCTACTCCACTAATTATGTTCTTTCAAATGACATCAAGGTCAATGACCTTGTGACCTTGACTGTGACCTATATGATAAAAATAGCTTTTTCGAAAATTCGTCATAACTTAAAATTAATGAAAGATAGAGACTTTATATTTAGTATGCATAATTCACTAATTAAGCTTTTTCAAAAAACACCTGAAGCTGAATGACCTTGAGACCTTGGCTGTGACCCACATCCTTAAAATAGATTTTTTGAATCTTGGACATAAATCTTGAGCAATAAAAGATAGAGAACTTGTATTATGTATACACCCTTCATTAATTAACCTCTTTCAAATAACACCAAGGTCAATGACCTTGGGACCTTGACTGTGACCATATACTTAAAATAGATTTTTTGAAACTTCGACATAACTTTTGAGTCATAAAAGATGGAGAATTCATATTTGATATGCACCCTTCACTAATTAAACTCTTTCAAGTAACACCAAGGTCAATGACAATTTGACCTTTACTGTGACCCCTATGCTAGAAATAGCCATTTTGATCCTCTGCCATAAATTTTGAACTATAAGAGATAGAGACTTCATATTTAGTATGCATACTCCACTTCAATTAAGTTCTTTCAAATGACACCAAGATCAATGATCTTGTGACCTTGACTGTGACCCATATGCTATAAATAGCTTTTTCAAACTTTATTGCCACAAGGCGCACAGTGTTTCACAAACATATCTTGATTTTCATTATGATGATCAATATAATTTTCTATCTGTTCAAAGAATAGCAGAAGTAGCTATTTCTTATTGACCCTGTGGCTTGCTATTGTTTAAATTGTTATATTCCTCAGCACAGTTTGTTAATTGTTAGATTGATAGATCATTATTTCCATTAAATACCAATTAATATCTTAACTTACATACGAAAAACGATATAGCCGCAATATTGTGGCAATAATGCCGGAAGATATTGGCAGAAGATCAATATTTTGGTCATGATTTGCAGCAATATTGCCGCAACCCTTTTCTGGCAATATTGCCGCAAAACTAATTAACATACGAAAAACGATATAGCCGCAATATTGCGGCAATAATGCCGGAAGATGTTGCCAGAAGATCAATATTTGGGTCATGATTTGCAGCAATATTGCCGCAACCCCTTTCTGGCAATATTGCCGCAAAACTAATTTACATACGAAAAACGATATAGCCGCAATATTGCGGCAATGTATTGCCAGAATGTTGCTGCAATATTGCGGCAATAAAGCCAGAAGATGTTGCCAGAAGGTCAATATTTTGGTAAGGGCAGGAACGCATAAAAATACATTCCTGGATAAATCAAATAAAATGATGGAAAAATTGCCAGCATAAAAGCTGAAAGTAGAATGAAAATACCAAAGCGGGTACAAAAAAACTGGTAGAAATTTGCCCTAGTCAGACTATGTGGTATAAACTCAAATTCAATGTCGGAACTCTTACTACTGTTTTTTTTTTTTTGGAGTCTAGCAACTTTTAAATAAGCTATGAAATATCAACCTAATACAGGATCATTTATGTCTATACATATTATAAGTTTTAAAGAATGTTTTTGCTCATTTTGATACTACACCATGTATCGAATTTGTTATACGATTAAATTTTAATGTAGCTTTTTAAGTATGGTCCGAAGACATCTGACGTTTTAAACTTTCTCCCCAGCGTGGTCGCTATTTTTACTTTTCAGGCTAATTATCGGTACATCGCCTCGATTTTTGTTCAAAATCAACGGACAAAGCCATATCCATCAAACACTTACTTGAAACTATATCGCAATTTTTTGACATTTTTGCTGAAATCATGGTACATCCATTCTGTTTATTAGAATAACGCTTCCAATTAGTCTACTTCTCCCAATTCAGTAATCTTAGAAAAGAAAAAGTTCACTTGAGCTTTTAGCTAAAGTGAACTAAAAAAGAAATTTCGGAAGAGATAAAAACAATTGTGCACCGAGATTTCAGTTAATTTTGTATACCTTTTCATCGGTATAAAATGATTTTCAGATCAAAATGTGGAATAAATAAAGTACAGAATCTATTTTCTTTTTTTTTTTTTTGTGATGTGGATAAATTGTGATATATAAATTCTGTAGAAATTTAAGGCTTAGAGGTGTCTTTAAGAAGAGAAAAAAGATTGAATGCTGATTTTGCCTTTAAGGATTACAATATATCGGTATACCGTATAATTTATGTAGAATTTTTAGCGAAGATTTATTTTTGGCATTATTAGCGAGATCGCTAAAATTGAGTTTCGCTAAAAATTAATTGTGTTTTATTTGTAATAGCTTCTTAAATATGCATTTTAAAATCGCTGAAATAACATCTCGCTAAAAATAAATTACCCGTTTTTAAGAACAAATCGCTAAGTTTGCGTCTCGCTAAAATTTCCACATACGGTATTATTCAGTTGTCAGCACGAATATGTGCATTATTGAAGGTACATAAAAAGTCATATTAAGAGCGCTTGATGGAGAAACACCAAAACATACTTCCACAACTGAAATAAACGATGATTATACAGCATGCTTAACCAATCGTTGTCTGTCGTCGTCGTTGGCGTTGTTGTCGTCGTCGTCGTTGTAAACTTTTCACATTTTCATCTTTTCTCAAGAACCGCTAGGCCAATTTCAACCAAACTTGCTACAAAGTATCCTTGGGTAAAGGGGATTCAAGTTTGTTCAAACAAAGGACCACGCCCTTTTCAATGAGAAGATAATTATGAATTAGAGAAAAATTAATGGCATTTTTTAAAAAATCTTCTCAAGAACCACTGGACCATGAAAGATGAAACTCATGTGGAATCATTCTTAGGTAGTGTAGATTTAAATTTGTTCAAATCATGACCCCTGGGCTAGGGTTGGGCCAAAATGGTTGATCAAAGTTTTACATAGAAATATATATAGGGAAAATCTTTAAAAATCTTCTTTTCAAGAACCATTGAGACAGATAAGATAAAACTCATGTGAAATTATCGTCAGGTAGTGCAGATTTAAGTTTGTTCAAATTATGACCCCCTGGGGTAGGTTGGGGCCAAAATGGCCGATCAAAGTTTTTCATAGGAATATATAGGGAAACCTTTTAAAATCCTCTTTTCAAGTACTTCAAATTCATGCTTAGTGATATTTATATGGAATTATCCTCAGGTAGTGTAGATTCTAGTTTGTTCAAACCATGACCCCCTGGGAGCTTAAAATTAGACACCCCCCCCCCCCACACACACACACACACAACTCAGTAATCTTTCAGTTCTGATCTGATATATGCTTTTTCCTAGCAAATTGCTCAGGTGAGCGATTTGGCCCTTGGGCCTCTTGTTTAATATATCACATTGAGCTCGAAATAAAAGACAAATAATCTGCAACATCTGTTTTATTTTTGAATGTTTTATTTGAAAAAGGTAACAGCTATATTTGATTATACATGTAAAGTTGATGACAGCAACTTTTCTGTTGTCAACTTTCTTTATTAATGTAGCAAAGTATAATAATTATATTATGGAAATAATTATATTCTTGCGAATATAGTAATGCCTGTCAGTTGATTCATGTCATTAGCTCTACTGATCAGATACCAGAAGAGCTTATGCGGTAGTAATGCATCCGTCGTCCGTCCGTCTGTCAATCTGTCTGCAAACAATTTTTCAAAATGCTACTCCTCCTACAGTTTTGGTCTGATTTCAGTATAACTTGGCACACAAGTAGACTACACTAAGATACATAATTCTGTGTATCAGTTTTTGATTTGGATGAATGGTGTTACTGTGGTTAGTAAAAATAGAAATTTCTGTGAAATTCTTTCAAAATGCTACTCCTCCTACAGATTTGGTCTGATTTCAAGATGACTTGGCACACAAGTAGACTTCACTAAGGTACATAAATCCGTATATCGGATTTTGATTTCGATGAACGGTGTTGACGTGGTTAATAAAAATAGAAATTTCTGTGAAATTCTTTCAAAATGCTACTCCTACTACAGTCTTGGTCTGATTTCAATATAACTTGGCACACAAGTAGACTACACTAAGGTACATAATTCTGTGCATCAGTTTTTCACTTCAATGAATGGTGTTGCCACGGTTACTCAAAATAGAAATTTCTGTTAAATACTCTCAAAATGCTACTCCAAATACAGTTTTAGTCTGATTATTATATAATGTGGCATGCAAGTAGACTACACTAAGCACATAAAGAGACTTAATCAAGAGTCATAATTCTATTTATTGCTGTTGAAAAGTTTCAATTCCCAACTGTTCCTTTGCTATAAGTACAAACCAGTAGAGCATCAGTCTCAACAGAGACTTCTGGTTTTTTAAACGGTATAGGCAATTGTTCTATTTGCTGGGATTCAACAATCACTTTATTTCCTGTGATAAAAGCTTTTTAATGAAAGTTGCCAAACATTTTTTCAGTATTGGAGTTTGATGAAGAGATTTACTTTTACAATCGACGACTGACTTTTACAATTTATACATAGACCAACTCCATTACTTAAAATGTTAAAGTCAGCTGTCGAATGTAAAAGTAAGTCACTTTATAAAACTCCATTATTACATGCAATCACATTTCTACAAAACTCAGTTAATAGGTACATGTATCTTTCAAGAATGGAAAAAAGATCATTTAAATGTTTTAACTGATAAATAACATCAATATACATCATGTACATGTACACTGAAGCTTAACCATTCCATAAAATGAAATTGTTTGAGGAATAGAAATGGCTGTACAATTTATAGTTGACATGTATTACTTCTATGAGTACATGTTTTATTTTTATCATCCCACACAAGGGAACTGTTTGAAATCGGATCTGCGAGAGGACATGACATGTTGTCGAGTTTTGTTCCGGTGCAAGATACGTATCCTTCGCACGTGTAGCAGCTTTGGTAGTTGCCATCCTTAGGAACTTGTTTACAATCCTTCACACACTTCCCTAAAAAGTCTAAAATGAAAAAAAAAAAAAACACAACAGTATAGCTTTTAATCGAAAACCTCAATGCATGATGAAGCTTTGTTGACTTAATTTATAAATATTTAAAAAGAGAAATTGCACATTAAAATGTAGAATTCGGATTTAAATTTGATAATCTGGTGTTTTTAAGCTCAGTTGAGACGACAGTTCAGTAAGTTTTTGTGATCAAATAGTGTCCCGCGTACACCTGTTTTCCTTTGTCTGTCCTACAAAGTATGTATACTTTTCATATTTTTGGCTTTTTTCTACAGGGTGATGGGAATTTCAGTTTGTTCACTGGAAGTGTATATTCACTTCCAAGGGGGATGGTCTTTCTTAAGAATCGCTAGGCAAGAGAAGATTAAACTTCTGTGAAAGCTTCATTACTTACTCTTAATTAATGTTCGTTGCTTTGTTCATATCAAAATCCCCAGATAGATCGGACCCACGGGTCGAGGTTTAACATGATTGCATAAAACTGAAATGTATGGAGATAATGAACGTAATGACTAGCTTTAGATTATTGGTTTATTATGGGCTCTTTAGGCATTATGGTTTAGTTGTATTTCTAGTATAACTAGCGTATCTTTACACCTATAAAGTTTGTTTTTTCTTGACATTTTTATATACTGTGGCAAATGTTGTTCCTTTTATGATAATAAAAATAGACATAAAACATTCTTTTGCTCCTTTATAAATTGGTTTTTAACCTTTCTCAAGATGAGAGAAGGATAATTTAAATTATTTTTTTTTTAAGAGTAATTTACTTTAAAGTTAATAAACAGTTATACGTAAAATTGTACATTCTGGTAAAACTATTCAATTTTGAATAATATTGGTAAGGAGATTAATATGCTTTCTGGGTATTTGAATATTGTAAATAATCAAAATTTTGATGATGAGGTGTGTCTTTAATTATCTTCATAACAGAATTCATACCATTTAATTGCAAGAAAGCTGTATGTCGTTGCAAAAATATTTGAATTGATTCATGCAAAGGTTCTGGATGTTTTCAAGGACCATCACAGAACAGGGGTCGAGTAGGTATACAGATATTATTCAACATTTCATTTGTAAGAATATGTTACAGGGTTTCCAAAAAGATAAGCCTTCAACAGATTCCAGACTTCCAATTACACCATCAATTTTGCGACAAATAATCAATTCTATTCAGTACACTACCAAATCACACTTTCATAGGAAATTGATTAAAGCCACGTTTGTCCTGGCTTTCTGTGCATTCTTGAGGATTGGGGAAATTACTAAAACATCAAGTTCGGTGCAACACTACCTTTTATTTTGAAACATTACACTGCGATCGCTTCACAACAAGAATTTTATTGACATTACCATTCCTAAGTTTCAGCACTCAAAGTCTAACAACAGCACTTTAAGCATTTATGAAAATCTCGCCAATCCGCAGTTGTGTCCATATCATTCCTTGTTGGATTACTTAAACCAAAGAAGACACACATATTGGTCAGCACCATTATTTTCATTCATGGTTAGGGCTCCAATCTCACGTGCATTTTTTACGCAACGACTAAAGGAAGTCCTGGCTTTCTGCAACTTAAACTTTTCAATATTACCATAAACATAGCTTTAGAATTGGAGCAGCTAGTACAGCAGCTGCATTAGGTTTTGCATAAGACGGGTTACTTCCAAGTACTGTACATGATTAGTTTGGTGTTGTAATTACTAATGAAGTGCCTTCCTTTTTTACTACCAAGAGTCCATGAGGCAGCCGGGCTTATAATAATGGTCTAGCATAAGCTATAAGACAGGGGCATCTAGTTTATTAAGCTCTGAATTTTGACCATCAGACAGGGGCTGATGGTTCTTACCCCATATAGACATAATTACCAGAACATTTGTTTCCAAAATTTATGTTTTTACATGAATTATTTCAGTATTATTATCTTATTTCCATTTTACCAGAACAATATATCTGTCATTTATTTTCAACCGCATGTTTGTTCAATATTTTACTGGAAAATAAATGACATTCAACTCTTTGGTTTGACGCATTCCCGTGTTTTCTTTTCTGATGTAGGGAGGGGGGCGTTAACAAGCCATCCAACATGCCATCCCTAGGGTTTTCCCCCGTATATGTTGCATAGCTTGTTAAGGGGGGATAGCGCCCCCCCCTATGTGTATTTATCACGGGTACTAGTTGTGATATGATACGCTAGTCGCATAAGCTAGTGATGTACAGTATTGCATTTGTGCGTTTGATGGTATACAGTTACATTTTTCCATACAACTGTAAGTAATGGGACTTAAGTATGTTCTTTTGTATATACAGTATGTTTGTTCTGGTCACTTAACAAAAACTGCTTTTTTACATTATCATGTACTCTATATTGCAGTTCTAATTTTTTAATTTTTACAGGGAATGTTAATTTTATTTGTGTGTTTTTCTTTGTCATTTATTTTCAACCGCATGTTTGTTCAATATTTTACTGGAAAATAAATGACATTCAACTCTCTGATTATCTTATTTTTTATTGGCATTAGGCAGACATACATAAATTCGACCGTTTGTCTTCACAGGATGCTTTTCGAAATGTTAGATTTGTCATAACTTGGGTTTACATTGCGCAATACTTCGCACATCATAATAAAATAAAGCATATTCATTCTTTTAAAGCAACCTTTTTCACAGAATTAGAAAATTTTAACAAAAATAAGAAACTACAGGTTCAAAAAACCTAACTACAATTTTATATAACTTATATTTGAAACGAAGACTAAAAACGTAAAAGTGTGTTTGAGACTTTAGGAAAAACTTAAGTTCTTTAAGAGAGCATCATTGAAATGTGATAAACGCAAAAGTTTACAATATTTGCTCTAGAGAATCTCACAATTATCTTCCTTATTGTTTGTATAATTCCTTTGTATCTGTCATATTTTTTTGTATTCCATAAAACACGAAAATGTCAAGTTTGATATTTTGAGATGCCCCCCACTAAAACGTCAAAACAGACCTTTACTACGACCATCTATAACTATCAGATAAAAAAAATAATAACGGCTAAATAATCAGTTATTTCAAAATGGCATTAGAATTCAAGTCGTTTCTAAGACTTTACTTTCATTTGCAAAAACCCCAGTCTCTCTAGAAATTAATGTTTTTCAGCATTCATCCGAAAATTTTAATTATTATTATTATTTAGAATGTGTATTATATAAAACTAATTCAATTTTTCAAATCATTAATAAAGTTATATTTTAATTTAATCTGGGAAATTAAGATCCATGTGCTCTTAATATATTTCAAACTAACTTGAAAATATAGTTTAAGTAAATACCTGTCGTTTTCAAAAATTTGGCTTTCAACATTTCCAGGATCTCTCTCACAACAGTCAAATCTGAATAAATAATAATTATTTTAAAATTAAAACAATTTAACACTTTTGTATTTGAAAGGAAAAAAGTGCTAGGGAAAACGAGTCTAAAGATCGCGAAACAAGTCAAATATTGTACAGGTTTACAATTAAGGTACCTTGTTTTTGTTGTTCAAAAGTAGATTTCTGTGGCATATCTCCTTTTATGGATGTAAACTGCTGTGTTTTGCTGTTGGTTACAGAAGCTAGAGCGATCAAAATAGACATACCAATAAAGATCAGGATCATTACTGCCCATTTACACCAGTTTGGCAACGTATTGTTTTTCTGTGACATAACAAAAATAAAATTCGACATTTTCAATGACTTACGATACAGATGTTAAATTATTTATGCTTTAATTTGTATTTTGAGAGATAGAGTTGGAAGATACATTACATATCGTGTGTAATATGATGTAATGAAATAAGCTTTGCTTCAGAATTTTATATATGTTTCAAGGTATTTTGAATAATGATGTCATGTTTCTTATGGAGTGTTTGTGAGGGATTTTTAACTGTTCAATGAAGAATAAATTATAAATTTCAAGTTGGAAAGAACGTGTCTCTTGCTGTGACTTTCAATTGTACATTTAGATATTTCGATGTTCTTTTTTAATTAACAATGCTGACTTTTTGTTATATTCTACCGACCTCAAGATAAAAGCCACTACAGATTCGGATACATCTATTTGGATGTTTTACTAGAGAAAGCATTGATAGTAAAATAACAAATGAATGGTATGGAACTTCGTATATAAGATGGCATTAATTTTTTTAATTAAAAATTTTCTTACTTATTTTAGCAATTCAGTTTTCTTAATGCAACACTATTATAAAATAGTGTTGCATTAAGAAAACTGAATTGCTAAAATAAGTAAGAAAATTTTTAATTTAAAAAATTAATGCCATCTTATATACGAAGTATATAAAAGCTCTTAAAAAAGAGCTTGAATGTGCTTTAAATTTATATAAATGGCACCTGTTTGAAGGGTAACAGTTGAAATTGACACCCCAAGGAAAACCATTGTTAACCGACGCGTTAGCGGAGGTTGACAATGGTTGTCCTTGGGGTGTCAATTTCAACTGTTACCCTCCAAAACAGGTACCATTTATTTTAATATGCTGAATGTCTTATAGATTTAGGATACCAGAAAAAAAAATCGTCGAACTTCTTTACGTTCACATTAAGAAAAGCTTCAAACTCTCCGCTTCTAATTTTTTCATAAGAAAGCTTTAAAAAAGATTTATCAACCTATTATGTCTAAGTTTGATTCTCAGAAAATCCTAAATTTTTGCACTCGCAAGTATGTTTCGTTTGTCATTTGTTGTTTTCAAGTAAGCTACATCGAGGTCGTTTATTCGGCTTCTTTTAGACGCACAGCTGACGTGTTGAGAATTCTATGGTGAACCGTATGCGCATGACTTGCACGCATGAAACATAACAGTTGTGTCACTCGGTGTCACGTTACAAGACATTTAAGTGGGTATAAATATTTTTACCCTGACCTGAGAGTTTGACCCATTTTTTTAAAATCTTTAACCAAGGTCATAACTTTTGAACAGTTGGAACAGTTGGAACAAGGGTTTTCATATTTCACAAGTGTATTCCTTGTAGCAAGGTTTTCAGTTTTAATGTTATCTAATGCATATGATTTTTTGTGATCCTACTTCAGCTTAGATTCTTGTTCAGGAATGGACAATATTTTGTTGAAGTTGTAAGAATTTTTGTTAGAGGGGATATAGGTTAAAAAAAAATACTGACTATAAGACGCTATATATATTTCTTTTCAACAATAAAATACTCACATTTTTAGAATCATTGTGCAACTGTGGTGAATGAAGAGTTTCATAGGTTCCTGAATTGTCCAATCTGAAGTCTTCTTGGATCTAAATCAAGCATAAGAAAGAAAAGGTATGGTTTCCATACAAATCTTGCACTATGATTTTTTAAAAGTGAAACTGCTGTAAAAGATGAAATAATGCTTTCTGAGTCATTGAAATTCCATGCAGAAAAATCATACAAAAATATTTCTCGCGTGTATTTTCAAATGCTAATTGTGACGTCATAAACGTGTGCATTTTCCCGTATTTTCTTCAAAGTTGCAGAAGACACCAATTTTCAATGGAATTTTCTTTCAGAAAATCTTGTCCACAGGCATCGCGCACAAAGATGTTTAGACATGTGATTTGTTTTTTGTTTTTTTCACAACATGTCAAAATATGAAAGTGGGCAATAGCTGTGGACACTTTTTTCTGAATTGCCCTTGAAATTGGCTAATTTGAGGCTTATTTCGTTAAAACTACAGAAATTCATCACATTAATGACGCCATATTTGTAGATTGGTATTCCTTTATGCCATAATCTTTCCTGGTTTCACAGTCATATACGACCAATATTTTAGCCAGTTTCAGAACTTTTTGATGACATTTACATTGTTAGGACACAATAAAGCTAAAACCATACATTCATCTTAAATATCGAAAAAATATGTTACAAAGAAAGATTTTTGCTGTCTTTTTTATGTACGCCCTTTCAGCAGTTTTTTATTTCAAGGAATGAGTACGTTTTCAAATCCAACCTTTCGAAAGCACATAAGAAATAATGACTCGCTAAAGAACAATTTATTTAAATCAGACATGTGTTGTGTTTTTTTTACTTGTTATGTCTTGCGTTTTCTTTCTTTTGTGAATGGGCATTTTTCATACATTTTATTCTCAAACGATTACAATAATGTAAATGTATGCATTTATAAATCAAATCCAAATCATTGACCATTTTCAAGTAATTTATGTAGCATACACGAGTAGTTTCAGTTCCTTGAATGGTTACATAGGGTATTGCATCGTTTGAAGAGGAGCCACTTACAACCTAAAAAGAAAATATCTTTTTTATTGAAACAAGTTCATATCCTTTAACAAATACAACTAAATCATTATTCGAATATTCTATTTAAGTCGAAATGAATTCAACCATTTATTTATCTTATAAGAAAGAATTAAAAATGCGTACAAATCGCTATCCATGGACTGCCAAATATGTTCAAAATAAATCTTTTGTGAGTCCATATCAAATTTGTTTTCAGAAATGGTCATTATAAGGTCCATGTTGCAATTACGCAATTTTTTGGAGAAATCAAAATTTTGTTTTACTTTACATCTTTCTACACACATGTGCAATATTTGTAAGCACATTGTGTTTTAGATTAATCTTCAAGTCCCAGTAGAAGTTAAGATGCTTTGGGTTGCGTATTGTTGATTTTCTGAACATTTTTTTTACGTTTGACAGATGATCCGTATCATTTAAAGGTTAAATACTTATTGATCTACATTTCAGTCTCAAAGATCTAGATCTCTAAACTTTAAACTGCTCCTTGCAAATCTCTGGCTCAAAGCTTACATAATAATCAAAATGTCAGCTCATAAAAGGATCTAATGTTCTGACAAATAAAATCAACTTATTAAAATTCATCCCTACCTCTTTGTTACTGTCAACTGGTCCGACTGCTAAGTAGTCACTCTACAAGATCCACACAAAAATGACTTCTGTGTATAATAATATTTTAAAATCCACTTTTATGATGCAAAGGTCATTAATATTAGTTGAGAAATTGGACTGATAATGTCTGACAGATTTTTTATATCATTTCTCTTTCATTATTTTTTTTATATATTGTAATTATTCGGGTAACAGTTACGTTTGCAAATTACCAACAACATTTCTTTGGAACATTTATATTGAGTAGAGATATACTTGTATTTAAATACTAGTATTTATAGGTATATGGAATCTTACGCTTTCAGAGTCATCAGATTTCTGGGATCCTTGGGAACTGTTTGAACGTTGTGAACCAACTGATTTGAAATTCTGCAATGTCTACACACAAATGAAAATAAATGCATTATTACGAATTAATTATTTTCTTCAATGATTAAAACGAATATGAATAAAGGATATACACTAGTAGCATTATTATTCTTGTTATCATTGCTTTTGCTTTTGTTGTCTTGTTAATTTTAATAAGAACTGAACCAAAACGAGGGATAATTAAAAAGATCAGGGAGTGGCATAAAAAAACCGCTTTGAGTACATCAATGAATTTTTCACATTTAGTTAACATAATATTTTCAATTATAGACTGAATTAAATATCAATTCAGAGTGTCATATTCTAATACCAGTAATTTTTCGATAATTTGTGAGCCATTGTATGATGATGTGGTGCAACCCAAAATACCATCGGGGAAAAACTTTTGAAATGAGAATTTGTTGTATCAACAATCCCTTTAATTCACTCGTGAGGTAAACACAGACTGCATAACATTAAGTTTATCGCACTAGTCCACGAACTTTAATATACATGTACACTGAAATCTACGGTTTTTCTCTCATTTGAGGGGTTCTTGTAATAATTTTTTGGTTGCTTTATTTAATATAAAATATAATTTTGCAGTTTTAAGATAATCTTACTTACGCTGACGTTTGCTGTTCTGTAGAGAAACGAAGACTTGTTCTACAATAAATATTAAGATGGGGATTTATTCAAAAAAATCATTTTGAATCGTTTATTCCTTTAATATATAATTTTGCAGTTTTAAGATAATCTTACTTACGCTGACGTTTGCTGTTCTGTAGAGAAACGAAGACTTGTTCTACAATAAATATTAAGATGGGGATTTATTCAAAAAAATCATTTTGAATCGTTTATTCCTTTAATAGAAGATGATAGTGTTGATTTAAGGATTGATTGATTGATTGATTGATTGATTGTATACACTTTCATAACCTGATCGAATATTCTTCACCCATGAATAATGGCTCATATAGAGACGTCACAATATACCGATGTAGGGCTAAAATTTTAGACTTAAACTCGGCACTTATTTAAAACAATTGAACAGTTAGATGTTTTTATAATGCTAACGCCGAACTTTCTACCAAATGACCTACGGTGTTGGTTCAATTCAAGAAAGGGTCCTTCGGATGAAACCTTACAAAACCGAGGCCCCGTGTCAGCAGCAGGTGTTGGCACGATAAAGATCCCTCACTGCTCAATGACCCTGAGTGCCGAGTAAAGGTAAAATTTTGAAACCCTTCACCGGCATACGGTGACGTCTCCATATGAGTGAAAAATTCTCGAGAGGGACGTTAAACATTATACAATAAAGCAATCAATCAATTCAAGAAGACAATTTTGATATCAAGATCATTTATATTTTACGTCATTGTAAAGATGTACAATGAATTAGTCATTGTAAATAATACTTACAATCATTCTTGCATTCTGACCAAAGTAAGGCCAGCCGTCTTCCTAGAAAATAAAAATTTTAAGACTTACAGATTTTTAAAATAAAATTACATCGAAGATGAAAATGATTAAACAAGAAAATATAAAGGTGGCTATTTTCCTGAAATCTGAAAACTATTGGCTTTTTAATGGAAATTTTATTGATTTTGAGAGGTTTGTTATGACCATTATGTATGTACGTAGAAGTGAACTTTTGAGTGTTATTGTTCTGGAGGACTTGATTCCATTTTGTCAATTCTTTTGTGTTTGCTTCTTCATGTGATCTGTATATTTACATGTAGTCCTAAAAAATTTTTGGTAGATATTTCTATTTGATTCACCTGATCTCACTTCTGATGATTTTGAGTTCCTCGTTTCCTAGGCTCTTTTTGTAATGTTAAATAGACTTCTGAGCTTGAATACTGTTCGTTATCTTCGCATATTTTCATTTTAAAACAAATTTAGATTGTCGTCAATATTTATTCGTTAAATTACATTTTCAGCATGTAAGGGAAAGAAGGCAGGTGAAATAAAACAGGACATGGTGATTTATCCTCAAGATTATCTTCGCTTGTCAACGGTTTCTGATACGCTACTCAAGAGAGAAGCGTATCAGAAACCCTTGGCTAGCGAAGATGCCTTAAGATATGAAGTCAATTGAAATAGGTTTTTTTTCCTGTAAAGAAAATCTCTTAGGTAATAGTAAAAATCAAATTAATTTTGAATGCATTAAAAAAATATATCGGAGATTTTGTTGTATTATATTATTTTAAGATTTCCTTAATTACGTGGTAAATTTGTCACACTAAATTTTATTCTTATTTTAAGGTAGGATTCTTCTCATATTTCTTGTATTTAAAAATTAATGAAATTTTCACAGAATCAAGAATACAATATCAGAAAGTGATAGTATCACTGAGATTAAATTTGACCGTTTTATATTAGAGGCAAGGTCAGGTCAAGGTCATTATATTTTTCCTTGACATTATGAATAAAAAAGGACTGTTGCCAATCATGTGATGCTTACTTCTATTTCAAAAAAATTAAAGATTGTTTCTTGTGCATAAAAAGATATAACTATATCAGGTCTATAGCATGATATTACCAAATTCACATAAATAATTTAACTAAACTGGACATTCGCTAATCCGAATTTTCTCTATTTTTCTTAATTTTTAGCTCACCTGAGCCGAAGGCTCAAGTGAGCTTTTCTGATCAAAATTTGTCCGTTGTCTGTCGTCGTCGTTGTTGTTGTTGTCGACGTTGTTGTCGTTAACTTTTCACATTTTCGACTTCTTCTCAAGAACCACTGGGCCATTTTTAACCAAACTTGGCACAAAGTATCCTTAGGTAAAGGGGATTAAAGTTTGTTCAAATGAAGGGCCACGCTTTTATTCAAGGGAAGATAATTGAGAAATAGTGAAAATTTGATGGTATGTTTTAAAAATCTTCTTCTCAAGAACCACTGTGCCAGGAAAGATGAAACTTATAGGGAAGCATCCTCAGGTAGTGTAAATTCAAGTTTGTTCAAATCATGACCCCCGGGGGTAGGGCGGGGCCACAATGGCCGATCAAAGTTTTACATAGAAATATATAGGAAAATTCTTTAAAAATCTTTTTCTCAAGAACCACTGTGCCAGGAAAGATGAAACTTAAAGGGAAGCATCCTCAGGTAGTGTAGATTCAAGTTTGTTCAAATAATGACCCCCGGGGGTAGGGTGTGGCCACAATGGCCGATCAAAGTTTTACATAGAAATATATAGAAAAATCTTTTAAAATCTTCTGCTCAAGAACTACTTGGCCAGGAAAGATGAAACTCATGTGGAATCATCCTCAGGTAGTGTAGATTCAAGTTTGTTCAAATCATGACACCCTAGGGGTAGGATGGGGCCAAAATTGCCGATCAAACTTTTACATAGGAATATATAGGAAAATTTTTAAAACATTTTCTTCTCAAGAACCACTGGGCCAGGAAAGATGAAACTCATGTGCAATTATCCTTAGACAGTGTAGATTCAAATTTGTGCAAATGATGACCCCGGGGTAGGGTAAGGCCAAAATGGCCGATCAAAAATTTACATTGGAATATATAGGAAAAAACTTCTTCTCACGATCTATAGGAATAGGAAAGATGAAACTCATGTGGAAACATCCTCAGGTAGTGTACATTCAAGTTTGTTCAAATCATGACCCCTTGGGGTAGGGTGAGGTCATAATGGCCGATCAAAGTTTTACATAGGAATTTATATAGGAAAAATCTTTTTTAAAAAATATTTCTCAAGAACCATTAAGACAGGAAAGATGAAACTCATGTGAAATTATCCTCAGGTAGTGTAGATTCAAAACAAGTTTATTCAAATCATGACCCCAGGGCTAGGGTGGGGCCATACTGGCCGTTAAAAGTTTTACATAGGAATATATAGGGAAAACTTTTAAAATCTTATTATCAAGTACTTCAAAGCCATGATTAGTAATATTTATATGGAATCATCCTCAGGTATTGTAGATTCTAGTTCGTTCAAATCATGATCCCCTGGGGGGTTAAAATTCAAGCCCTTCCTCCCCCCCCCCCTCTTCAACGTTACTAAACTTTCAGTTCTGATCTGATCTGTGCTTTTTCCTAGCCGATGTGCTCAGGTGAGCGCTGTGACCCCTGGGCCTCTTGTTTCAAGATATATCAGTTATTTTCATATGCTTCCTATATTTAACTTTTTCTTATTTTCACATATAATAAAGTTGTCTTATAAATGTACAAAATGATACAAAAACAAAAAGTTGTGATCGTTTAATAAGAGAGAAAAATTAATCTTTATGGATTTTTGGCTCAAATCCATACTTTGATTGGACGTGTTTAAAAGCTTACATAGTCCTAGTTTGCTTTAAAAATCATAATTATTTGATATATTTTGAAAGTTTAGTCCCTTATAAATAATTCAACTTACATTTGAAAATTTCTCCAAGTCTTTGATTGTGTAAAAATTATGACTAAATTCATTGTTCTATCATAATTTTGAGAGGCAGAAAAGAAGATATATTCATACGCCACCATTCCGCCAAAAATATAGTTCCTGCTAGTTTTCAAATGTAGTCTACCATTTCAATTTAAAGTTGTACAATTCTGATGAGGAAAGATAAATTTGGTCTTTTAAATCCCTTACACCTAAATATATAAGACATATAAGCAAATATACTTTGAATGTTTCATCTAGTAGAGAAGAATCCTACCTTAAAGAAGAACATAAAATTCCAAAATTACCAATTATGGGTTCTTTCCTACAAATCACGATTGAAGGGAAGGAACAGATGCTTTTGGATCCTGAAACTATAAAGTCCCAACTGCTAGATAACAATTTATATGAGATATACTAAAATAACAAACAATATTCATCTTCGAAAGTTCTTTAAACAATAGAAATGTGCGACAGAGTAATCGTGGTCCTCAAAAACACCAAATGGAATCAGGTGCCATTTACAAAATACACTTTTTTTGCAGGAACAAATCTACAGTTTCGCCTAGGGAAATGGGTTTGATCAATCTTATTAAAATCAGACTTCTTAGATCCGCGCCGTATACACTCTGCGTAAGATTTAATTAGATTGTGGGTTTGATATATTAAAATGTTTCAGTGAAGATTAACATAGCGGTCAGCTTGATTACAACAAATTATAAATGATAAATTGAATTCTTTAATCTCGTAAAAGAGTAATTTTTTGATGGTTGAAATATAGTTTTGTTAGGCTCGCTTAGGCTAGAGATATACTTTATGAAATTTTGACTATAGTTTATTACACGTTATTTTACCTGTATATTTATACATCTATGTCTTTTCTTATCTCCATTGCATTTGCATGACACCGCGCTAAAACGATAATAAATGTAAATATTAAAATGGTACATAATTAAGGTCATACGCAACGTAGTTTGAACTTTATTGGGTTCTTCCCTGGAGTTGAAGAGTTCCACTATATGAAGGACATGTGTGCAGTACTATTAATGTCTAGATATGGATTTTACACCTCTTCTAAAACAAATTTTGATGAAAAAAATATTTGGAATTTATGTTTCGTATTTTTTGTACATTTTTCTTCGAATAATGCAAAAAAAATTCATAACATTATAACTTTTCAAAACCCCTCGTAACGCATGCTGATTTTTGCCTGAGAACATGTAATGGTATTGTGAGTTAAAATTTAGAATATCTTGAAAAATTATCTGTAGGTTAGGTACGTTGCGTATGTCTTTAAATACATTATTTTAAGGATCAATTTGTTGATATCGGGTATCAAAACTATACAGTTTATGTAATATGATAAAGTTCTACACCTTGGTTTCATATTATGTACTTTACAATCATATTAAAGGCAGATTAAATGACATAAACATATAATACATATTATAAAAATAAGATATACCTACTTAGACGTTTAATTTAACGATATATATATATATATATATATATATATATATATATATATATATATATATATATATATATATATATATATATATATATATATATATATATATATATATATATATATATATATATATATATATATATGTAAACCTGGGGACTTATAAAATACCAAAGCACTGTCGTATCTGTTGTAATTTTGACGAAGATATTTATATAATATACCACGTTTATATTTTTATGCTAGCATTATGACTGTATGTAGCATGCATTTTGCATAATGGTACATGGTGGTACTTGTTACTTCACAATTTTCATTTATATTTTCCATGTTAGCAATGACATGCTAGCAATAATTATCTGAACTTATAAACCATTTGTAGAAGGACGAAGAATATATTAAAATAGTGCTGAATGCTACTGTCATTACATAAATTTTGTAATAATTATAATTACACTTTATGCACTCTTTAATAATCGATTATATGCTTAAAAGGGCCCTGATTGGGAATAATAAATGTATTCGTCACAAAGTGCAAACTGTATATATATACATGTATACATATATATATATACATATATATATATATATAGAGAGAGAGAGAGAGAGAGAGAGAGAGAGAGAGAGAGAGAGAGAGAGAGAGAGAGAGAGAGAGAGAGAGAGAGATAAATCCACACACGTATTGTTATAATAAAAAAATCACAACTCCGATATATATATTGGAAATGAAACCGGTTGAGTGTATTTCGGTGTTGTGATTTTTTTATTATATATATATATATATATATATAAAGTAACAAGTACCACCATGTACCATTATGCAAAATGCATGCTACATACATAATGCTAGCATAAAAATATAAACGTGGTATATTATATAAATATCTTCGTCAAAATTACAACAGATACGACAGTGCTTTGGTATTTTATAAGTCCCCAGGTTTACAAATCTGATCACTAAACTAGCATTTATTGAATGCCGAGGGTTTACACGTATTGTTCCCTTGATCAACTTACAATTAACATAACAATTAAATATATAAAAATTAACAGTTTATTATCCGTACCGATCGCGATAAAGGTCAAGTTTTTTGTATACTTTCACACATGTTTTGCCTGAATAAATTAAACTTTTTGGTATTCAGATAATAAATATTTCATTTCAAACTTAGTAAGAAGAATAATTTGTACAAGTTTCAGATGTCCTCAACTTTGTAGTTACTTTGTGTTGTTCAGAAGATAACAGTGGCAATTTTCAAAAACCAAACCAGTTTTTTAATATTTTCCTGTTTTTTTTTCTCTTTGTAATTTTCTTATATGCACCATTCATATGTATAATGATTGCAAAATAATTCCCTGTGTCATGTTTAGAAATGTAATGCATAAACTCAGCCATTTGAAGGAATAAACATATGCATAAAACACCATGACTAAGAATTACATGTGTAAACTTTGAGCGTACTTTAAAAGTATGCCTTATTTAATAATGGGAAAGAAATCTACAGTTTTACTTTATGGTTAAAAAGACGATTAAAATCTTTGTAGATTCATAGTGTAAGCATAGTTATATTAACACCTAGAGACTCTTGAGGGTACCAATAAATTCTACAGTTGACTCTTATTGGGAAAATAATAACATTTATACTATAGGAATACAGTATGGATGATTTGTATCGTAAGAATCCAAACGAAAAGCACTTACTTGTACGAATCAGGAAAGATGCCATTTGATGAAATGTCGTAAGACCTTTCAAAGCTGCAGTTATCGTGTTCATTCTGTCAAAAGTATTATAATATACTTATTATATAGGTAATAGAAAGTCTGTAGTCTGTAATTAGAAACTTAAAAGTCTAGAGGCTTGCCAAAGGTTTCTAATTTATTTTCGATATAGTAAGGATAGGGGACACTTCTATAAAGGAACTTGTAGGGGTGGGGGTGTTTGAATTTCCATTACTTGAGAATGTCACTAAATCAATAAATCATATATGGATATCTTTGACATACTTGAACAGAGGATTTTTAAGATATTTCCAACATATAACTTGATTTCCCATTGTGAACCCCAACCCCCACCCCGGGACATTATTTGAATAAATTCAAATCATCACTTCTTGCAGATGCTTACATGTCAATTTGACTTAAAAATGAGAAGATCTTTTCCTATGTATAATTATACAAATCTTTGATCCCTTACTTTGGCCCAACCTCAAACCCGGGGGTCATAATTTGAACAAACCTGAATCTAAACCAGCTGAGTATGCTACCATTACTTTCATATATATATATATATATATATATAAAAAATACGTATCATGGATTTGGTGTTCTCCAGAAAATTTTATGATATTTTTAGTATACATTCCTATGTTAAAATTGATCCAAATGTGTGTCCCCACCCTACCCCAAAGAATTCTGATTTGAACAATCTTGAAATTATACTACCTGAGGATGCCTCCATACAAATATCAACAATCATGCCATGACTTTGCTGTGCTTGAGAAGATTCTAAAAGAATTTTCCTGTATATTTCTATGTTAATCTTTGATTGCTATTATGGCCCCACCCTACCCCCAGACGTCATGATATGAACAAACTTGAATTAACTCTAACTAAGGATATTGTCAATTAATATCATCAATAATGTCTTTGCTGATTTTAAAAGGATTTTTTACAGAGTATTCCTATGTAAATCTTTGATCAGCCATTGTGGCCCAACCATATCCGCGGGGGTCATGATTTGAATAAACTTGAGCTACACTACCTGAGGATGCTTCCACATGTTTCATCTTTCCTGACCCAATGCATCTGGAGACGAAGATATATAAAGATTTTTCCCTATATATTCGTATGTAAAACTTTGATCAGCCATTGTGGCCCCAACCTACTCCCAGGGCTCATGATTTGTACAAACTTGAATAAACATTACTTGATGATGCTTCTAAAGGACTTAATCTTTCCTGACCCAGACGTTCTGGAGAAAAAGTGTTTTGAAAATTGTTCCTATTTATTCCTATGTTAAACTTTGATCAGTCATTCTGGCCCCGCCTTACCCCTTCGGGTCATTATCTGTACAGCCTTGAATCTACACTACCCGAGGATGCTTTCACATGAGTTTCATCTTTCATGGCCAAATGGGTCTGGAAATTTTTAAAAATTGTCATTAATTTTTCTTAAATTCATAAATATCTCCCCTTGGCAGAGGGCTTGTCCCCCCCCCCCACGATTTGAAGAAACTTGAATCCCCTTTACTTAAGGATACTTTGTGGCATGTTCGATTGAAAGTGGTCCAGTGCTTCTTGGGAAAAAGATAAAAATATGAAAAGTTTACGATGCCAACAGCAACGTAAACAACGACAAGCAACAGACAAATTTTGATCAGAAAACCTCATTTGAGCTTATTTGATGCGATGATCAAATAAGGCATTTACTACAATGCGATGGAGCGATAAAGGTAACGGTGTAGCCATAATTGAGGTGGCAAAGGTGAGATAGCACGATGATTCTAAGAAGATTGTGCAGTGGCAAGCAAAAGCGATAGCGCAACGACGAAAAATACCATGACGCGATGGTGTGATGATGATACCGATTAGCAAATATTCAGTTATGATGTTTGAAACGGCTCTTTGTATTATCGTGCATCTCGTTATCATCACAGCGCTATCGCATTGTCGCTTAATCGCAATCAAAGCATCGCGTCATAGTCAGTGCATCATCACATCGTCTAGACGTCAATTTGCAACATGGTGCAAAGTTTAATCTCTCCAGGTTCACAGAAGGCTAGTATTAGAATGTTCGCTTCGTGAGCAGGAGGCCCGGGTTCCATTCTCGTTCCCGGCGCCGCGTCAAACATAAGACGTATAAATAGGTAGCGACTGTTCCTTCACCAAGCGCTCGGCATCAGAAGTGAAAGTCACGGGTCTTTCGGATATGACCTTAAAAACGTAGGTCCCGTGTCACGGTAGGCGCTGGCACGATAAAGAACCCTCACTGATCAATGGCCACGAGTGCCGAGTATAGGTCTAAATTTGAAACCCTTCACCGGCATACGATGACGTCTCCATATGAGTGAAAAAAATCTCGAGAGGGGCGTTACACAATATACAATCAATCATCCAATCCGGGTTCTGTTTCTTTTATTTCAATTTCCAATGAATTGATTTTTGGTAAGAGGTGCGTATATCTTCTACCCAAATATCCAATAAATAGATAAGGATGTTCGTTGCGTAATTCCTTCGTCGATTCAGCAAGACATATTTATTACATTTTCTTTTAAAAATGTACTTGACAGATCGACATGATATATCGAGAAATTATCTTAGACAATCCCTAGTATAAATTGTATTTGAGAAAAAGATAAAATAACTAAAGATGTACATTTATATATGAATATCTTAATTTTATAGAAAGGAGATATTCCAATTTTGGTGAACTTATAGTTCGGAGAACCAAATTGGACAGACTGACAGACAGGCAAACAGATAGACAGACGAGATGGAAACTTAAGGCATTCCTCCTCTTGTTTCACCGGTTTGGGACTAATAAAGCACTAATAACTATTAAAGTCCTAATTTTTCATCCAATAAATATCTTTTCCACATATTTTTTGTATGTTTAATAATTTATCAAGAGTAGGTATCGATGGTAGAAAAACCTACTGAATTTAACTAGTTTGCCTCGTATATGTTTTAATTGTCGTGATAAGTAAACTATCAGTTTACTGGTTAAGATGAAATATGAATTGTGGAGCGAAGGTCGTATAGATACTAAGACATCTTGTGGAAAGTTACTTATCAATTCTAGATTTATTCATCTTATCCAGAAAATATACCTAATACCTAGTAAAACAATCTTTAAGGTAGTGATTGTATGGACAGTAAATAAGCCAGTTTTCTAGTTTTCTAATAAAGTTATTTTTTGACACTGTATCTTCAAATAAGACGTAATTCATTTTTTAAAAAATACTGGTACATAATTTCGAATTACAGATGCATTAAGATGTTTTAAAGTACAGTTATATTAAATTATTAATGAAAAGTATTATTTTACCACCATGAAGTCTCTAACTTACCGACGATATTGTTGCCATGCTTCTTAGAAATCTTAAAGTTCTATGCGATCTTCGATCGCTTTTATAGATAATTATTGATTGATTTTTTTTCTTTAACAAAAATAAACGCACGGCATTTCAAATAAATCTTATCAGCTATATTTTTGCAAGAGGAAGTAGTAGTAATATTGCAACGATAAGCCTGTGCACATATGTGATATAGACATTTGTTTCTAATATGATCATTTTATATTTATTTTTCCCTTCATGACAAAATGAGACTGCGTATTATTATAAATCATTTGAAAGATTAACATGATGAATAATCATTTAAAATGAGCGAAGACAGTTTTGAAGTTTATAAAATTTTTAATTTTTGAATGAATTTCACATCTACCAACAGGCACTGCCAAATTGATAGTACAACCCACCCCACCCCACCCCCCAGCTTCTGAGAATTTTATTAGACACAGAAACCTATCAAAAATACATTATTTCCTAGTTTAAAGTTCTTATATTTCAATATCTGATATCATTTTCCGCTTTTGTTAAGATTTAGAGATTGGCCCTACACGGTATATATGGTATTTTTATATACCTTATAGGTTTATTGAGGCTAAAGAGAATAGTTTAAGTTTTTTTTCTCTTGTACTATATTAGTATACATGTGTATTGAAAAATAATTAACCCCTCTGGCCCCATCCCCTGTTCCTGTAGTCATTTTGAATATTTTTTTACTTAAAGTGTCATTCCTTCCTTTAGCTTTCGACTGCTATATCTGAAAATTTATTAAATAATTTCAAATTGTGGAATTCGTTTTACTTGTACAACGAAACTTCAAATCTAGCATCGCCTGCGCGGCGCAGTGGTTAGAGCGTCTGTTCTATAGTCGCGAAGAAGTTTATCCTTACGTCGATGGTTCAAACTCCACTTTGGGACGTGATCGAAGTACTTCGAATGAGACCTATATACCGAGGTCCCTTGCCGCAGTAGGTTCTGGCAAAAAAACGACCCCTCACTGCTCAATGGCCATAAGTGCCGAGCAATGGACTAAATTTGCTGCTCTCCATCGGCAAATAGTGACGTCTAAATATGAGTGAAAAATTCTTGATAGGGACGTTAAACATCATATCATCAATCAGTCAGTTTGAAAGTATGTTTCATAGCAAATTGAAGTTTTAAGCGTTTCCCTCCTTTGATTAAAATATCACTTTTTTACGCCAATTATGATAATTATTTTTTTTTCTAGGCTATAAACATCGCCTCGATTTTTTTTTCTACAACATGTTCAAAATCAAGTAATAAAGCCATGACCGTCAAGCATTTACGTGAACTATGTGACACCTTTCTGACCATTTCACCTGAAATTATGTAAAATCCATTCTGTTTATTGAAACATTCAATTCAGTCTACTTCATATTCAGTAAATATTTGAAACGAAAAAAGTTCACATGAGCCTTCGGCTGAGATAAGCTTAGAAAAGGAACTCGGGAGAGATAACAGTTCAATTGTGCACCAAGAACGCACTTAATTTTGTATACCGTTTCATTTTTTTTAATTAGTTATAAGGTACAAAGTACAGAATTTATTCTCACATTTTTCATACAGATAAATTGTGATATATCAATTCTGTAGACATTTAAGGCCATAAACGTGTCTATAAGAAGAGAAAAGATAACACTGAATACTGATTTTGCCTACAAAGATTACATTATACAAAATTCAGTTGTCAGCACAAATATGTGCATGTTAAAAGGAAATATAAATAGTCGGAAGAACTGGGGAAACTACAAAACATTTCCAAAACTGAAATAACCGATGATTACACAGCATGTTCAACCAATCCACGTCGGTTATTTTATTTCTATTTTTACGTATGATTTATTTTTAGTTTCCTCTATCTTTTTGTAGAAGAATAAAACAAAGCAAAAAGGGAAAAAAAATATTCATTTACTAACAAAAATGTACCGTGTTGATGTACATAGTATAATCTATTCACAAATATAGCAGCGAGTAGGTTTTTGTAAAAGAAGATAAGTATACATAATTTATTTATTATATTTTTACATACACTGTATACAAGACCTTTAGAAAAATGTAAATGAAATATTGTTATCACAGAATAGACGGAATTTTCAATGAATTTGTATGGAAGGGAATTACCGCCAAAAGTCTATGTATCTTGCTTTTATTCTTATTCTGCCTACTTCTTTATGCTTTGTTATTGTTGTAATTATATGTCGCTTTATTGTTTTCATATTCGTCTTTATTACATTTCACTTTGACTTTTATCCTTCTTCATTTTGCCCTTACTTCTATGTTGCTTTATTCTTGTAAATTCATTTTACTTTCTTTTAAATTGATTCAGTTTCTTAAATGATTATCTCTATTACGAACGTGAATTCAATCACACAAAGAATGAAGCATATTCAATGAAGACGAATACAAGTTGTCAAAATTTAGTGCGGCATTATAACGCTAGGTGGCAGGGGTGTTCGCTACGAGTGTTGGTAAAACTAGGTAAGCAAACCCGGGCCGGGGTTATTCGAGATTTTTCAATTTTCTGCCTTAATACTTTATCAATCGAACTTAGATTTTCAAATGATGTTTGTTATAAGTTCAGGTATGTACCCGATAATGCCACTCCCTCGGAAGATGGAAATATTTCCCCTGGAAGACTGTCTACATAGTGATGCTTCCTTCGGAAGATTATACAGTGAGACTTCCCCCAGGGAAGTTTCAATATATAGCTAGTCTTCCGTGGGAAATCTCGCTGTAAAAAGCAATTCGTCCCCCTTCATAGCAAACCCTCCCCCGAATAGTTTTTTTTTAAATCGTAAAACAATGTTTGTATAATAACGTTTTCAGTTTTGAAAGAAAACTTATCCGTCCTATATGAATAAATGTTTAAATGATATCATTTTAATAGTGGTTAATAATTAAATCATTTTAACCATTTAGTTAAACATAGATAATTTTCATGAGTATTAATGGATAATGACTTCCTTCCCCCCCCCCCCCTTGGACGCCCCCCCCCCCCCCGGGTGCAGTCGCCTGCGTGGCACTGTGGTTACGGCGTCTGCTCTAGAGTCACGAAACACAGTAGTAAGGAGTCGATCAATACGTCGTGGGTTCGAATCATAGTCCCACTATGGGACGTGGAGTTCGGTCCTTCGGATGAGATCTAGACCGTATTATCCGAGGTCCCGTATCGCAGTAGGTGCTGGCCCGAAAAAAAGATCCCTCACTGCTCAATGGCTATAAGTGCCGGGTATAAAGGACAAATTTGCAGCTCTCCACCGGCAAGAGGTGGCTTCTCCATTTGAGTTAAAAATTCTCCAATTTAAAGGGACGTTATACAATGTACAATCACACCCCCAAGTCTCAATATATATACTGACTTCCGTCTGAACGACCTCCTATGGGGTAAGTTTCACCACATGCGCGGATCTAGAGGGGGGTCGGGGGTCAGCCCTCCCCCCCCCCCTGGAATTTACAAGGTTAAGAAATGTATATACTAAAGCAAGAAAAAAATTACCTTGCAATCCCCCCCCCCCCCGGTAAACATGAATATGTGTGAAATGGGTATGAAAATGGGTATGAAAAGTGAAGGATTTGAGGCAATAGAAGTCATACACTACAAACCCCCCCCCCACCCCACCCCCCACCCCCAACGAAATAGGATTTTCATGTTAGGGCGAGTTTAGGTTTTTTTGTTTTTGTTTTGTTTTTTTTTTGTTTTTTTTTTTTTTTTGCTTGTCAAGAAATTTCTGGGATTGGGTTTTTTTTTGACAGGGGTGGACCCACCCCCCCCCCCTAGAAAAAAATTTCTGGATCCGCGCCAGCACCGGTAGAGGGGAGGGTGGCCACGAAACATTTTCCTAAACGTAACAGACTTTTTACTACTGGCAAAGTTCAGCGAAAGGCTTGTTGCCCCCATCCCTTACACTTTTTGTTGCAGCACTAATAGTCAATTTATATTTTAAAAGTCATGTACTTAGTGAGTAATATTTGGTACTGAAAAAAGTTGACGAAATCACCCCCCCCCCTCCCCTTCACCACCACCAAATAGAATTTTCAAGTTTTAAGATTTTTTTTAGTTCTCCTGGCTGATGTAAAATACGGTGCGTACTAAAGATGTTTCTTTTCTTTATTGAAAAGTACTATTTCAACATAAAATATTCTAGCAGAAAAGAAGACCGGGGAGTTTCTAGTATGCCTGGGGTGTAGCCTGGTTCCGACTTCGCATACCCATAACGCTCCTCACTCCTTTGCAAAGCCCCGTCCCTAGAATCACACGCATGAGCAGTTACTATTTGTCGTGAAATAAAGTTCAGTTCAGTGGAAGGTCCTGAAAAACAACTCAATTTATAAGGGGTAAGTAGTATCAAAATATTTAACATTTTTATGTCAATTAAACTGGAATTCAATTATCCAACAAATAACTTTAATAGAGTTATATTTTTTTCAGGCGAGAGAACAGTGACGTAGCATCGTTTTTAAAAATTCAAGCTTACTGGCTGAAAACAACTTGTCAAGCAAAAAAACAAAAAAAAACAAAACAAAACAAAAAAAAACAAAAAACAAAAAACAAAAAAACAAGGAAATTGTCCAAACTTGAAAATACATAGGCGTCGGAACCGGGGAGGTGGAGGGGGGCTTAGCCCCCACTTTTCTTTCCAAAGATAGACTTAGAACAGACATTGGACATTGCTGCGTAGGTTTAGCCCCCCCTTTCCATGGACACGATGCAGTATAGGTTTCAAATGGGGAAAGTGGTGGTGTTTTGAAAAAAAAAATTGGCACTGAGGTTCAACCCCCCCCCCCTCCACGAAATAGGATTTTTGTGTTTGGACAGTGGACATTTCTTTTTTTTCTTTTTTGGCTTGTCAAGTTTTTTTTTTGAAGTTCTAAAAAATATTTCTTACCCTTTGCCCCCCCCCCCCCCCGGGCCCCAACTTTCACTTTGTCCGACGCCATTGAAATCCTATTTCGGGGCGGGGTGGGTTTTGGGTTAGATTCAACTTCTTCTATAGTATCAAATTTAATTTTTTCCCTACTATACTACATTAACCTTATTTGACCCTTACCCTTACAAAAAGTGGGTCGGCCCTTCAATGAACATATTCAGCAAATTATATAAAGTTATGTCTGAAAAAAGAGGCCGCTATTCCTGTGTACCCAGAGAAAATAAATATGGAGTTTCCATCATTGGATCAGTTCAGAAGTTCGATTGATAAAGTATTAAGGCAGAAAATTGAAAAATCTCGAATAACCTCGGCCCGGGTTTGCTTACCTAGTTTTACCAACACTCGTAGCGAACACCCCTGCCACCTAGCGTTATAATGCCGCACTAAATTTTGACAACTTGTATTCGTCTTCATTGAATATGCTTCATTCTTTGTGTGATTGAATTCACGTTCGTAATAGAGATAATCATTTAAGAAACTGAATCAATTTAAAAGAAAGTAAAATGAATTTACAAGAATAAAGCAACATAGAAGTAAGGGCAAAATGAAGAAGGATAAAAGTCAAAGTGAAATGTAAACAATAAAGCGACATATAATTACAACAATAACAAAGCATAAAGAAGTAGGCAGAATAAGAATAAAAGCAAGATACATAGACTTTTGGCGGTAATTCCCTTCCATAAATTTGAGCATGATACATGTACCTCGTACCATATATTAACATGCATTTTCATATACGTACAATGTGGAACATTCCTTATTAATACATGTAACTTTCAAAACAATTCAAAAATGACCACATAATACTGGGAAATTTCATTAATACATACATGTATCAGCCCTAGTAATAAAACAGTCTGCTGGTTTAGCTTATGTCTGTACAATGGAGACGGACCATTGGTTATCTTGTGTAATTTGATGAAACAGAATAATTAATTTATCACGAGAAGTGAAATTATTGGCAAGTCTCGCTTTGCCAAACACGTTGTTTTTTATTATCATCCATTCTAAATGATCAGTAGAACAATTTCTCTGATATATATAATTATTTGCACACGTCACGTAGCCGTGACAAGTGTCACATGACTGGTAATCCCCGTCAGCGACTCTCAAACAGCTGTCTACGCATTCACCGGTAGTGACGTTTAAACTGTTATTTACACAGCCACCTGAAATACACAAAATCAACATATTGATACCTTATAGTATTTTTCCGTGATTGTTTTCAATCTCTTGATTTTTAAAGACAAAGACCTGGCTGCATCAATTACGATCAGTGAAAAATAAAAGTAATTAAAATAATGAATAACTAGAGCAAATCTCGTTGCAAAGCAACGAGTAGGTCTTCTGTCCTGTTTTGACCGGAAGTGACGTCAACAAAAGAAAACAATGAGCTAAGTCATCTCCTGTCACTTTATAATTTCAATTTTGCATCAAAATCTTAAAAATAAGCTATTTTGGCTACATCCGGTTTTACCGGAAGTGATGTCGACGGACAGAAAATTAAGTTTTATGCTTCCAGTGACATGTTACCCAATAACTTGTCATGAACGACAAAAATATACAATTTCTGACGACTTCCGATGTGACCATAAGTGACGTCACCGGACGCATTTTGACGACTTTAATAGATTAAGCCTGACATTTTGAACAACTTTGCTTCTTGGACATATTACAAATTCTCAATACTTTTTGGGATATCTGGAAAAAAAAATTTTGGCCCCTCTAGATCCCTTAATTTAGGCGTCAGCCCTTTTTTTCGAGATATCATTTGAAAGATATTGTAATTCTGCACAAATTTTGTTCTATATATTTTAACAAAATATTTTTAGTTAAGAGGATAAAAAGCAAAATATGTGTAAATTTTCACTCTATAGGCGTTATAATTTTTTACCCCTGTATAGCACCATTTTGAATAGAGAAGTCGAAAAACAAAAACCGCTATATACACAACTTCAATCCTTCTATTGTGTAAAATCAGTCAAACTTCTGCTCCAGCTTTTGACATCTCCGAGCCTTTGTCTGGAAATGAAAGCCTATAAATTTTTGTTTAAAGGAAAATAACTCAATTTTTTTTAATGCTAGACAAAATGCTTATAGAGTGTAGTAACGTCTATAAACTCTAGAAAATTGAGCAAAATCCATTGAGAAATGAGTGAAATATGAGGCCTCAAAGTTAGCGTCTAGGAAAAGAAAAAAAAGAATAATAAGAATAATCTTAATCATCAGAATCAGTAGAAGGTCTTCCGTTGGAAACGGAAGACCTTAATTACAGAAATAAATCGCAGACCTCCAATACTCGATTCAATGACTGTTTTCAATTCATTTTTAAGTTCTTTAAGTACATCTTTGATCATGTCTCCTAACAAACTTTTGATTTCATTAGATTGATCTTTTAACATGTCCTTCACGTCTATCAAAGACGTGTTTGTGTGATCAAATAATGCTTTCAACTTGTGTGAAATATCATTTGAAGAATTATGTAACTGGCTCAAAGATGCTTCTACCAAGTTTCCTATTTCATTGATCGTTGTTTGAGCTTCGTTAGAATGTTGTTTGAACATGTGCCTCAAGTCAATTGTTGACGTTTCGGTATGGTTAACTAATGCTATCATATTGTTTGCGAATTCCTTCGAGGAATTTTGTAAATGACTAAAAGATGCTTCCATCATGCTTCCTATATTACTAATCGATGTTTAAATTTGGTTTGATTGTTATTTGAACATGTTCTTCAAATCCTTCGATGACGTCTTAGTATGGTGAGATAATGCTTCCATGTTGTTTGCGATATCGTTCGAGGAATTTTGAAACTGGCTTAATGATGACTCCATCATGTTTCTTATTTCAATTATGGATGAATTTGTTCCATTTGAGATTGCATTCATCATATCTCCAGTTTCTTGGTTGATAATAAAAGAAAATTTTCTGTCAAATTTGAATTGTATCTAGATTCATCTCGGTGATATTTAACAATTGGCTCGTTTTATCAATGACTTGTCGTTGATTTTCAGTATATTTTGTGAGTGTGTTGTTATTGTCTACGATAAAAAAGAAAAAATATTTTGTTTTCTTAATCAATAAAAAAAATTAATTCTAGAAAGTACATGTCCTAGAAATGCATGTACAAGGGGTTATCAAAAAGTTCGTAGCCTGAGGCAATAAAATTAGTACTAAGGAGTCTGTGCTCTCAAAATTTATAAGGAACATAAAACAACAAAAATTCAAGAAATATTTGAAATGTTAGCTTGATACATTTATTACTTAGTATTTGCCACATCATTATAGTAATTAAAACGACATTATATGATCACCTGGTGCTGTCGCCGTTTAGTTTCATGACGTCCGACAACGTCATTTTTTTTTAATGTCCGCTTCTTCTACCTCATACACTAAATTTAATGAGATTCCCTGAAACTAAGTAAGGAAATAAACCCGTATTGTCAATCATGACAATGTCATGAACAGCGACTTTCAATGCATAAAATATTGAGAGAGATGCCAGCATATTTTGCTTTTTGGAGTTTAATATCTACAAATGTGATCAACGGGATTTTTTGAAGTGATTGATTTTTCACACCTTGAATACAAATGGACATTACTGTGCATCCCTTTTCTCTCTGAATCTTTTTTGGAATTAAAAAACAAGTCCTCTGGATGCATTTTGTTTATTCGTAGCCAGTTTAAACATTTCCAAAGTGTATACTAGTTTTCCCCAGGCACACTTTATAGAATGTTGGATAAAGAAACCCCTCCCCTTTTTTGACGTCATTTTCAAGGCTTTATATGTTTGAACCTTTCATTTAAAATTTAAGATAAATTTCCATAGAACTTCCAGAATGAGGTACAAATTCCATATTCTATGGAACAATAGTGTCTCAACACATACATGAATTAACGTGATGTTTGGGTGTTAGACATTCATTTAAAAAAAAATTTCTTCTCAGTGACACTTAGGTCGAAAACAAGTTGTGCCGTCTGGACATACCATTGCTTCCTAAAAACATTACTTTTATATTAAAAAATATAAATTGTGGTTTTTTTCTATAGATAGAAAAAAAATGGTGCTAACCAGATATTTTAAAATTCATTGATGTACCTAAAGCGTTTTTTAATTTTATGGCGCTAGTCCACGAACTTTTTGATACCCCCTCGTACATTAGTAGGATTTATTTTTCAAAAAACTCTCAACATAGTAAAGGATAATATATGTTTAACTTATTTGCAGGAAACCTCATATTGTTCATTTTTATGTACATAAAATCATGCACACGGAAGAAATATAGATATATTTATCGGAATTATAGAAAGGAAAATCTGAACATCTTGGCATCTGCCCTTAGATTTCTAAAGGCCCTGTCACACCACGGCCAACACTCGCCATAATCAATAAGTATAAATTCTATATTGAGTTTTGTGTCATTTTTCTCTGTATAAATGATAGCATCTATTTGTGTATACAAAATAGATGCCTTTATTTTACGAGAAAAGTATATTTGAAGGGACCTATATATTAGTTTATATGTCCCAAGTATTTGTTATTTGAATGTTGGCTTTTAAGGGTCGGGTTTGTTGACACATCAAGTGTTGTATATAAAATGTCGGGTTTGTTCTTCACATTCCTTTCTCCTGAACCTTTCAAAGGTAAAGACGCATAACAATTGCTTGCTAAAAAATACATGAAATGTTGCTTTTTAACTTTAAGAACCCGCCCTCCCACTACCTTTTTTAGAATGTTCCATTTTCTCTAAGTAAAGAATGATATTCTGCTGCTTGGGTTTTTGCTTTATTTTGCAGTGAAACAGTTTTGATTTGCACGTCCGAGATGAATACCTTATACCCATAGAAAAAATATCCTGGTGCTGTCTAAGGAGAGGTTAAAGTGAAGAATCTACCACATGATGCCCACATCAAGTCCATTGGCAGCTTTAAGGATTGTGTTAAACATGCATTGAAGTGTCTCTGTGCAATATGCGTACCGAATAGTGTTGCAAATTGTAAAACTTACTATCTTTTATAAAGTAGAATCGATAGCATATAATCGATTATAGGATTGATAGTTTGAACTAAAAGAAAGGAGAAGTCATACTAGTGTGAAGCGTCTGTGCACACCAAGTCAACTGATAACTGAATGTTTGTGTAATACTTGTAATAAACTGTCACCTTATTGAAATGATAATGCTAGTGTAAACTAAGCTAATAAGCTTACTCTTGGTGACAGTAATATATACTTTAGAACTGTACTACATCGTACAGGTTTGAAATATGAAAAATGTCGATATTTGAAGTTTGAGATGTTTGATCTATGAAGCTTGAGATATTATTGATATATGATATGCAAGATTTGATAAAATAAGTTGATATGCTTGATATTTTGAAATTGAGATATGACCTATTGATTGATTGATTGATTTGTATGTGTGCTGACCCTCCGAGGTTAACCCGGGACGGTTAGAAAAAAGAAACACACATTGTTGATGTTTGAATTTGGTGGGTTCGCCCAATTGAAATGGCGTCCCACAATTTTGTATTGTGCCATGGCCAACACTCGCCACAATAAATAAGTATGGATTCTATATTGAGTTTTGTGTCATTTTTCTCTGTATAAATAAACATGTAATAAATATAAAACTTTATGTTATATTTCAGAGGATTAGCACTATTGAGAAGATATGATTAAGATGAATGATATAAGCAGACACAAAAGAGCTTTTTTATTGATTGTACATTAATAAATCCCTTTTGCTAATAAAAAAAATTGTTGAGCAGATAAAATGACTTCTTAAACTATAATCAGAAGTTTTTTCTATCATTCTAATACATACAACTGCTGTCTCTGAGTTTGTAAAGCAGATTCATGAGAAGCGAATGTTCATGTGGTTTAATCTCGGCATTGTGTGACTTGAATTCACAGTCATACAGTACTGTGCCTTAGATTTTTTTAATTAACATTCTTTGTTCTGAGAATAATATATAGGCAATAATTCTATTTGCTATGTTTCAACCATAATTTAATTTGGTTATGATTCACGCTTTTTAATAACATTTAAATATTATGAAAAACACAAACATAAGTATGGGAAATAGGTTTATCTCTAGTTGAAGGGGTTTGAGGTTGACTTGACTGGTTAATCGATAGAAGAGAATAGACCATTAAAATGAAGACAAACTGAAAAAAAGGAGCAGTACGTCATAGGCCTACGGAATTAAAGACCGTTATTAAACGGTTCATCATGATTTATGGCAATTTTTAACTTTATAGTCTTGGTGAAACAAAAGATATTGAAAATGTTCGCGTTTTTCTGTGACAACCCTCGTATGAGTGAAAGTATCTATGTTTAACAACCTTGAGCTCTATGTTTTCAAATTAAAATTGTTGTGATTTTGAATCTCTTCGCCCTTTTTATTTACATGTAATTAACCTCTTTCTAACCTGTTTAGAATCATAACAAGTCACTACCTTTTGTATCGTTACGGGTTAGTACCCTCAGTAAACGTAGCTCTCAGTTAAAAATCAACGTAAATGTATTTGTCAGCATGGACTTGTTTGATTCATCTTGTTATAGTGTTTCAATGCCCGGTTTTGTAAATAGAAGATTGTATTTTTAGTGGATTGTGAATCTTGACTCTTGGTTTACTATACTTTAGAGTTGTAAACCATAGTTCACAAATAGTGAATCTGTATTTATCAGATAATTTATGTTTTGCAATCGCAAATGTTTGTTTTAAGTGTTTAGTATAGTTTACGGTTCTGAAACATAGATTGCTGCGTTAACTATGGTTTACAGATGTTAAATATAGATTGACGTCGTTAGCTATAGTTTACAGTCCGTAAACTATAGTTTCTATTTTATCGACTGTGAAATTATATTTAGCTCATTTTTTTGGGTGAATTTGGCGTGCCATAGATACCTCTTTCATTACGTGATGGAAGGAAATGTTTCATTGACTTTGGGCATGGTACTTTCCGTCTTTTACGTTATATTAATAAAATTAAATTCCTTACTTTACAATATTTTATTATTATTGCATATCATAAAATATTTATAAAAACAAAATTGACCATATTCACTTTATTATGAGCAAACACTAATATAGGCCTACATGTATATCACACATACATGTAGACCTTTGTATATAGTACTGCCTGCTGACTTAGTGTTTGTACAATGAAGACAGAACAATGTTTACTTAAGGTAGAACCTATGTCGGAAAAGTCTTTGCCACAAGATTTTCAAACTTTTCAAAATGATACATTAGTGCTTGCTTATCAATCAGTTAAAAGCTCATAATATGTTTCCTTGATTTTAAATGTAGAATAGCCTGTGAAATTTGGAATGGTAATAACGTACTGCAATTACACATTTCAGTTACTTTTAGGGACAGATGTCAAGAAGAGAAGATGAAAAATCACAAAAATACTTCTTTAAACAACGTCGTCTATAAACTTTATCAACTGAACAGTATAAAGCAATATTTCTCAAGAATATTTTTTTTATTCCATTGACATGAAAAATAAGTCCACATTTTAAAAAAAGATAGCCAAAAGATTTATTGATTGTTTACTGCTTAACGTCCCTCTCCAGAATATTTCACTGATATGGAGACGTCACCATTGCCGGTGAAGGGTTGCAAATTTAGGCCTATGCTCGGCACTCATGGCCTTTGAGCAGGGAGGGATCTTTATCGTGCCACACCTGATGTGACACGGGGCCTCGGTTTAAACGGTCTCATCCAAAGGACCGCTCCATTTAGTCGCCCTTTACGACAAGCAAGGGGGTACTGAGGACCTATTCTAACCCGGATTCCCTTGGGGCTATAGGGATAGGCAAATGGAGTGTGAACTCTATTTTATTCAGTCAATTTTCCACCCTACATTTGTAAATATTTTTCAGAAGTCTTTGTCACAATGGCTTCAATCTTTAATATGACATACCCAAATGATAACAAAATGTGATTAAAATATTTCTTTTGCCTCCAACTAATGAGAGATAGGATATTTACCGATGCTTATTACTTGACCTTTTTGCACTAAACGGGATTTAATGAATAAATGACTCTTTGGATTTACTTTCAAATTAAAAATCTTAACGTTTACATGCATCAAAAATTGTACTTTTTATTTGAAAGGATCATACTTAATAGAAAAATTGTAATCAAAAATCAACACAAGGAAAATGAATAAGTAACAAATAATTATGAAAAGGAATGCACATCATTTCATGATAGGTTCACAAAAATGTAAACCTCAAGATCTACAACATGTTCATCTATGACTTAGACACATTTCATCAAGATATTACACTATTTAGTTGGCAACTGAAGATTTCTTAGGATTTTTGTATTCCTTCAAAATAGTTAAATACCATTCACATTATTGCAGTAAGTTGTTTACATTGTAATTTCATTACACAAGATACATTTAGTCTTAGATTTGCCAACTTAATTAGGGTTAAGATCTAGTAAATGAAAGATGCCTACAGGTTTCTCTAATTCAAGAAATATATTGTTATTATAAACATTATAACAAAAAAATATATGTATTAAATTAAGATTATTTCGTTATGATTTTAAATTGAATTCTGTATTTTTCAAAATTCAGTATTTTCTTCAATTTCTATTGAAGCTGTAATGTACGGGAAAAATTGACATTTAATCAATTATGACGTCACAATTGATTTAGCTCAGGCTCAACATATTCACTAGTTATGATGTCTTACGACATAGGTTCTACGTTAAGTTATCGGGAAAAAAAATAACGTAATTAATCATACTACGTGAGGTCCGATGTTTTGCAAGTTTCGCTTTTCCATTCACAGCGTTTTTTATTATCATCCCAAAAAAGATCTACCGTGGGACAATTTCTGTAAAAGATATAATTATTTGTACACGACACGTAACCATGACAAGTGTCACATGACTGGTAATCGCCGTCAGCGACTTTCAAACAGCTGTTTACGCATTCCCCGGTAGTGACGTTTAAACTAGTACTGTTAATTTCACTGTCACCTGAAATAAGAAAATCAAAATTCACCAAACCGATACTTTATCAATCATATCATCTGAATGCTTTCAACCCCTGATTCTTTAAGGGGGTGGGTTCAATTCAAATAGAACCTGAAGTAGAAAAAAATATCATTAATAATTAAGAAAGTTTATTCTTATACTATTGATTAAAGAAAATAATAATAATATATACCTTCAATTCTTGATTCATTGTCTGTTTTCGATTCTTTTGTTGGGTCTGTTAATAATGTTTTCCTCAAGACCTCTAAAATTGCTTTTGTCTGGTTAGATTGTTCTTTGATTAAATTATTTAGATCTGAATTCAACTTTATTGTATGGTCTGTTAATGTTTCCACAGCATTTGCAATATTTTCCAAAGAAGTTTGTAACTGGCTAAAAGATGTTTCCATCATCTTTTCTATTTTATTGATTGTTGTATTCGTTCGAATCGACATCACCTCTATCAATTCTCCAATTTCTTTTAGAGAAGTTTTTGTTTTGTTTGATAATGAAAGAATATTAGCTGTTAGATCCGAATATGCCTCTAAATTTAACTGGGTAATATTCATTATTTTACTCGTTTTTTGCTCTTCTTGTCGTTGATTCTCAGTAATTTTTATCAGTGTATCGTTAATGCCTACAAGAAAAAAGTTAAGATACATTGATGTAAAATATAATATTGCATATTTGTGGTTTATATGATAAATGATTGATATAATAATTATTTGAGAAAGAATTCATAAGGAATTTTCTAGTTACATGACGATTACGAATAGAATTGAATTTGATTTGGTATTCAACTAAAATATTCATAAACATTCTATAACACAAATTTGAAATTCTGAATAACATTTTCTTAAATTTGATGTACTTAATGTCTTTTAATTCGCTTACTTTTCAAAGCACTGGTTTGCGCTTGCATGCTATTACTTAAGTCATCAATCTTTTCCTGGCCATTGGTTAGAAGTGTGAGCATAAATGCTACTCCTGCGACCGTAACTGTTGTGATAAATAACATGAAAACCTTGCTTATCTTGTCACAGATTTCTTTTCCTTTTAAACTGTCCTTGATATAACAAATAGAAAATGTTTTAGAAATATGTTACATAACAAATGAGAAAATAAAAGTTTATTAATCCTAAATATTTCATGCAATACATACACAAGTTAATCGACATTAAACAAACCTTGTTCCGTTGAGAAAAATTTTCTATATCTGGATAAGGATAATCATAGGTGCGTCTAGATAGCTAAAATTATATCAGTTATTAATAAATATATTTCCTAATAAATGACATGAAAGAATCTAATTAGACGTGTTATTTTTCAATAAATTCAACTATTTTTATTAAAATAATAACTCACATTTGAAGTCCTTAATACTTGAGATCTGCTCATCTCACGATTCTTCAGTGCATAGATACGAAAAAGTAAATACCTTTAATTAATGTCTTACACTTATTTTTTTCAATTTCGTTATAAACAATAATGTAAATTGTGTTACAAAGATGGAAATTAAATTTTGTAAAGCTTTTAGTAAAAATTAGGAAGTTGCGCGTTCTGTATATCGGTAATTAGACTTATGGGGGCCGACTGGGGTTTTATTGTCTGAAAATTACAATAAACTCTAATATATAATGGGCTTATATAGGAAATTGCAATTTTACACACTTTGAAGCAAATTATACAAATACTTCAATAGACATTCTGCTCAGATTATAAGATATGATTTGTAATACTATATTGTGCATTATATGTAAGAAACACAAAATTCTACTGTCGTGTTTCTAGAGGAGGCATCCCAAAATGCCTAAAATGCACAACAAAAATGACGGATAAGGGAATTTATACAAATAAAAATCGTTTTAAAAAGTTATATGTTTATAAATTCAAAAGTATATAATAAACTTTATTTTTAAAACACTTTTTATTACACCTTCTTTAAGAGCTTCGGTTTATCATAACGTCAAAAACACACTATTATGTCGTCATTCTACCTTTCATATAAAAAACCGTATTAAAAATTAAATTTACAAACTTGTAATCCAATTCAATTACCCGTAACTACTTAATTTTGCTACATTTTATTAATTCTTTGAAGCAATTTAATTTCAAACAGAAAATACGCTTCATTTTGCTATGATGCGCGAGGTATTGCGCAATGAAAACCCCAGTCGGTCCTCTTTTTAAATATTTTATACCTCAGAAATGATACTATAAAATAAATAAAACATGTATAGCGTATATATGTAAGACTCCAAAGTCTTACACAAGTAAGACTCCAAAGTGCGATGGTGACGCAAAAAGTCTGATGGTCTCGCCAAACCCCGATGGTCTGCGCCAAACCCCGATTGCTCTCTGTCTTTAGACCGATGGTCACGCAAAAGTCCGATGGATCGTTTCCGATGAGACACGTTGCGCTAAAGTGCAATGGTCTAATACGGTCAAGTCCGATGGTGCGGAGGAACAATCAATGTTTATGACGTCACAATAGTCCGACGTCAATTCTTGACGCCATTGTCCTGCATTCAAAAGCGATCATTTCCGAATTCGTCCTCGAATACAATTTTATTGGTTTTGCTTATTGCTTGCACCTTCCAAAGACGGTTAGTCCTCGCCCACCACTCTGTTACACTTGATTAGGGTTAGTCCTTGCATTACACAACCGGAGAGATTTAGGGTTAGTCCTCGCACACTAGTCGACTGATAAGGGTTAATCTTTCACCTATATCCAAAAGATGAAGGTTAATCGTTGCGTTTAATATTTATTTGTATTTATTTTTAATAATCGGGCCTTGGCATGGCGCGGCATCGCATTTTTTAGCAGAAGTACTTTGACGTCATAAACGTTAATTGTTTTCGGCACCATCGGACTTTGGTTGTCAATCCATCGGGGTTTGGCGCAGACAATCGGACTTTGGCGTGACTATCGAACTTTGGAGTCCCATCGCACTTTGGAGACCTAAATATATATTACTCATATTATATAATAGCAATATATATTTATTACAGGCATAGTTAACTTTTATTCAATTCACCGAAAGTTTATTTAAAAGTTGTTGGACACAGATTTGATTTTTAACATTTTCTAAATTGTTCTGTTGCGAAAAGTTATGGAATTATACATTTTTTTATATATTAACATTAAATCATTTAAATAAAACATTTGGAGACAATGAAAAATATAAAGGAATAATCAGTATAGATCTTACAATTCCAGCCGGATTTCTGGTATCCTATAACAATGAAAAATAATGCACAAATGACAGGAGACTTTTTTTCAAATCATAACAAAAATATTTGATCTGATAAAATATCAAAAGAAGTCCTATCTTTACTCACGATTCTTAGGGCATGTCCTGGAAAATTTAACAAATTCCGTGATATTGGTTCATTCGTGTTAGGATCACTGAAGTCTGATAAAGATTGAAATGATCATTCATGCCACATTTATATATCCAAATATTCCCACAAAAATCAATATTTTTGATTTTATATCAATATAATTTCAATTCAAAAACTTACTTCTGCCATAGGCTTGCCCTCTACTGAACTGTGAAATGTAAAATGTAAATATTATATTAGGTACAAGTTACTATGAGCTGTAAAACAGTAGAATTTTATTCTGCTATTCAATTGAATTTGCAGAATACAATCTGCATTTTTTTTTTAAATCAAATGTTTGGAATGAAGTGCATTCTTTAAAAGAACTATATGTATTTTGACGTTTTCCCACTGACATTTGTCTTTCCATCGATTTTTTTTTTTTTTTTTTGCTATATAATTTCAACGTTTGCCTTTATATTGCATAATTGATACATTCAATAATGTGTTTATTTCTATATCTTGAAATGTGTTGAACAAATATTTTTTTTCAAATCATTTATTCTATAACGTACAATATAACAACGAGGCAAAACTTTCGCAGACGCCCTCTGGTAATATCTCACCAGGAATGCCAGGAGCTCCCTGGATCGATATAATATTATAAAATATATCTCCAATATTTGAAAACAGAATTTTTTCGTATTATACTAATATGTAATTATTGACGTTTCATTTTCATGCATATACTTAAATATCTCAAGTAAATAGCACCATTTTTACATATGATAACAAAGTATACGTTTAACACCATTATACTACATGTAATATATAATTATTGACGCTTCATTTTCATATATATACATAAATATCTCAAAGCATATTGGCATTATTTTATATATAATAACAAATTATACGTTTAACACCAACAGAGGAATGACCCTTGTTGAAGTGGAGATTGTGTGGGAAAAAAAGAAAGAAGTCTATATCAATCTCACTGTAACTAGTATTTAGGGCCAGGTCACCCTCAAATACGGGTCTTTTTATGTTTTACAACTTATAGACAAAATCAATATGCAGAGTTTTGTGATAATAAAATTAGATTATAAAAAACACATCAGAATGAATGAATTTTACAAAGACATAATATTTTTTCCTCACATGCATAGTTTGAATTTGGCTTTACATCTTCAATTGATGATCTTTTAACTTATTCATCTTTAACATATTTTAAACATAAAGTTTCCAGTTACATGAAAAATAACATAGTAAAAATATTGTGTGCCTTATAGTGGATTAAAAAAGTGAATACATGTATATAGTTTATCACGGCAGCAGATACTGCCATTAACACTATACCTAGTATTAGAATGACAAAGAATTTTGAAACATGATTTATTTTGATTTTGAAATTTGTCAAATCATGTGATTGTAATAGTAAAAAATTCTATTCCATTTCATTTTTGAATGCATTTTTAATACTATACTCAGTTATTTTTATATTCTCATATTTAATTTTATTTTTGTTTTCCATATGACCCATTTATAAATACATATTAAAATGTTAACAACGGTTCTTTGAGTTTTCTGTTCCTTCAGGTATCCTAATATTATTGTTTGTTGGTCAATTTATAAAGTTACATTTATATGTAGCACATTTTTTATTATATCTTCTAGTAATTTTAGTGTTGTTTTCACTTTTGTGCAATGGAAAAAGATGTGTTGTTGATCTTCTTTATGATTTTTACACAAGTTGCATAAACCATTGGATAGTTACATTTTACATAATTTATCTTCAGTGTACAAAATATTATGCACGCATTTCCATTGGAATTCTTGAATTTTATTTTTAACTTTCGTTTTTGAAATACTGTCCCAAACTAAGTTCCACTGTATGTTATTTTGATATATATTTTCCCATTTTTCTTGACATTTTGGAATTATTGTCTTGTTTAATATTTTTTCTATGTTCTTTAACTTTATGTCTTCATATGTTACCACTTTGTTAGTATCTCTTTTTTATGAGTAAATTATAATTCAATTTATAAGGGAGTTTTGTTTCTCTATTAGATATAAATATATATTATTATAACAGTAACTTGATCCGAAGGGTCGTATCACGTCGAGTTGACAGGCGCGGATCATCAGATCTAACGAGAAGCGAAGGGTCGGAGACGTGATACAACTCTTTGGATCAAGTTACTGTTATAATGATAAATTTATTATATACCCCCTTATAACTAGCAAAATATAGCAAAAGAAAACTTTAGAGATCAATTGCATGACATTTATCCATAAAACAAAGTATAATAACAAGGGACTTTTTAACGCGCAAGAAAAATAACGTCATATTTCTGCGTACTACGTCATCAGTTTCAGAGAGTGGTGATATGGATTCAGAAAACAACATGTTGGTGATCCGGAAAATCGGATCACGACGTCACGTGATAGCGTAAATTCAACAGTAAAATTGGGTGAGACACATTAGGTATATAATAAATTGAGTTATTTCTTTTTAGTATTGGATAAAACAGTTTAGGAATGGCTGATTTTATTTAACTATATTCAAATATCCAACATCTTTTGTCTAATAATTTATTTAAAATGGTGTCATTATATTTAAAACAATTTTCCGCTTTATTCCAAATGTCTTTAATTTTTAATAAACTGCTTTTAATAAATGATTCCACATATAGGCTTTTCCTTGGAATTGTATAAGTTTATTTCCAAAGAGTGAGAGGTTAATTATTTCTTTTCGGTTCTCTGGCTTGAATTTTGACTGAAATTCGCTATATGCGATGAGTGCTTTTTCGATAAAAACTAGACATGTTATATAAGGAAATTGGAGATAAGTCTGAACAAGTGCATAAAAAACATTCCTGACTTAAATGCATATCTTTACTCTGTAACCAGTATTTACCGATTAAATTCCATGTTTCTAACTTTGAATGCATGATTTTATAAATTGCTTTTATTTGTTTACTTTTTATAAATTAAAGATATTTATTGTTAAACAAATTGAAATATCGATATGGATCCAAAGTATTCGAACTAATCTTATATGACTTTATTTATGAATTAGTTTTTTTTAATATCCCTAAAGAAAATGAATACCTTAGTAATACTTACATGTCTATTTCTCTGAAATCTTTCATTATTATTTGCCCTAAAGAAAAGGAAAAGGTATGTATATTTATTTTCACAAACAACTTGATAAATTAAGAAACCTACAGGTTCATTTCGAATAAGGGGTATGATGCATACTTCTGCGTGCCTTTGAAATCTATGTCTGAGGATACAAAAAAGCTTATCTCTCTATTCATTCCATAGTATGTCATTTATTCAAGCACACCTCACGGTATTATAAGAAATTCTGCAATACAATATTTTATTGCATGCTTTCATGAATCTAAGATATTTGTTCTTGCCTTTTAAAAATGATTAAAAGCACCAGAATCCTTGATTCAGAGGTAAATTTTATTTAATATTAATAAAAACACCTTCCCTGATTAAAACTTGCCTAGAAACAGAGGAGTGTCTTAGTTATTGCATTTCTTCACTTTATTTCATTTATTGGAGACCCGCCCTATACATTGTAAACATCCAACTATATTTTGTACAAACTTATAAATTCCTACACAGTGCAAACTATTTCCCTACATACTTTTGACAAGTACCAGTTTTCTTTTTACTTGGAAAGACGATTTGATTTTCTACCAACAATGAATCTGTATTTTGTAACAATTAACATTTCTGCAAAACGCTTTTTTAGGCAGTCGCTAGATAAATTCAAAATGTAAATTCAAAATGATCCAAGTCACTTTTCTCCAATCTACATGTACCTGTACTCTTATACCATCCTTTGTTTTTTTTTTCTTTTGCATATATATAGGATCTCACATGATTTGTAGTTGGATATGATTTTTATGCAAGGAGTTATGTGTTTTATATCCCCGAGCCTTCTTTTATCAGGAGTCCCTTTTTAGACTGTACAAAATAACGTTATATTTTTTACTACGTAGATTACAAGCTAGTTGAGATTGAGTTAATTTTGAGATTCAGGGATCTGGCAATATTTATCACAGTTGACGACCCCCTTTTCCTAATAAAAAAAATGTTAGTTTAATTAACGACCTTAAAAAAGATGTAAATACTAATTTCTATGAATAATAAATTTGCCAAAATAGTTTAATTTTTTCTTACTAAAATACTTTCAAGCTTTTTAAGTTGTTCCTAGAAAAGAAAAATACCTTAATACAAGACCATTAAAAGTAGAGGAGAAGGGAAAGCTGGCTCTGAAAGGGGCAGTTATACTTCAGAGTAGAATTTACCCCCTCGGAAAGCTGAGTCTAAAGTGCGATTTTCTTGGTGGTAGTTCTACTCAGGAGCTCTTTTCAATAGCATGCCATTGAAAAGAGCTCCTGAGTAGAACTACCACCAAGAAAATTGCAGGAATTCAACACCAAGCCCGATAGATACTCTAAAGTGCGATTTTCTTGGTGGTAGTTCTACTCAGGAGCTCTTTTCAATAGCATGCCATAGAACATGACAACTAGAATAATCAAACACAAATATTTGAAAAAATTAATGCTATAATTTTAATTTTTAACATGTGTTTTACTCTTGCAAGGAAACCTTTCATTTGGGTTTAAGTCCTTTTGTCCGTGGACTAGGTTGAAAATCGTTTCATATTCAAAACAGGGAATTCGATTTGATAAAGCTGATTACTAATAATCGATTGGATGATGGTAAGTCATAAAGGGTGTGCTTTAGGCAGCTTTTATATAAATCTATCTTATTAACGTGTCTATGCGTAACGATACAGACTCACGTTAAGAAATCAAGAACTTCAAGAATGAAAATTCAATCCATCAAGAGTAACCTATGTACACTGTTATTTCGAGTTGTACGAGTTGATATTTATTATGCGTCTTTACCTACATGCATCAGTATCATGAGTATAATTTGAAAAAAAGATTTATTTTAGTAAATTTAGTTGCCTGTGAGATATTCCATGTACTAGATGCTCGCTCACATTCTACATAGAAACATATCCACACAATTTAGATCAATGTTAACTCGTGTTTACCTACAATTACTTTGTACCATCGTCTATGAGAGTTAAAAATTCAGTAATCTTACCCCAAAACTTCTGAATATCCACTTGTGGCTTGAGATGAATTTGTTGTCTGTAGAAAAAAAAAATAAATATGTACCCGCGACTATAATTATTATGGCGGGAACCAGTTATTACGGAAGCTCAATAGTGCAAACCAAAAATAAATAAAGAAAAACGAAATTATTATATAAAGAAAAAACGAAATTATTAAATAAAGAGAAACGAAATCATTAAATAAAGAAAATCGAAATGAATATATAAAGAGAAACGAAATTAATAACGGTATACAAAGAAAACGAAATTATTAAATAAAGAGAAACAAAATTATTAAATAAAGCGAAACGAAATTATTAAATAAAGAAAAGCAAAATAAATATATAAAGAGAAACGAAATTAATATATAAAGAAAAACAAATTTTTTTAAAATAATGAAAAACGAAATTATAAATAAATAAATCATTTCGTTCTTCTTTATATTTATTTAATAATTTCGTTTTTCTTTATATATTAATTCTGTAAATTTGTTACTTTGTTACTTCTGTCTCAGAGATTTCTTTTTCAGTCAACTAGATTGAAGTAATCTTTAAAGTCACAAAATTTTTTAATTAAAAAAAAAACGTTGATTATCTAGGTTGGTTTGGGAATTTTAATTACAAAGTTTATTTTTTCAATGCCCAATACTTCTAAAATTGCCATATTTGGGTATAAATAAATATCGCTGCAGATTTTTTTTGAGGGGGGGGGGGTAAAAAGAGACCAATGTTTAGATTGCTGGTATGTTTTCCTAAATGTTCTGACAAGTTTTTAGTATAATATCAATGTACGTCTTGAAGACCGAGTCGTGTGCCCTCTTCGGCATCGTACAAAATCGGAAAACAGCGGCCTCGTTGGAGCCATTCAGATTTCTTTTCTATTTTTTCTCGTAAAATCACATATTAATAACGGTAGTTGTTACAGGAAATGTTATTATATTAAAAGCACAATATTTGGAAAAGTTGTTCTGTAGCATATATGACTGCATGAAATTTAAAAACTGCATTAAATCATGCGCACTCGAATTAGATTCGGCCTTGTTAATTTCTCTTTGCTAAATGAGTTGGATAAGTTCCACTTTTTCCATTTGGGAATTTTATTGATATGCATATTTTCCCTTTAGTCATCTATATAAACAGTCGAGGGACCAATCTCACACATGGGACGGAAAGTTTATTAGTAAGCTATTCACAATAGTTTCACTATCATTTAACTAAAAAGGCAATCCTTTATCGACGATTTAGAGTGACAACGTCTTTTGCTGTTATCATAGCATTTATGCATGGATATTTGCCATCTGAACACATAAATAACCCTAGGATTTTTTTAAATAAGTAAGATGGAGGATTTTTTAATGCAATCTTTGGAAAAATAAGCCTAAATAATACATACTTGTCTACTTCCTCGTAATCTTCCATTATTATCAGCCCTAAAAATAAATTCCATACAGCCATACAGTCCAAAGTAAGACTCACATTGTAAGAAACCTAAAGGTGCATGTTTATAAATATCCAACTGCAAGTTCACTTCGTACGATAAAAAACTTCAAGAGGATCAAATTAAAGTTCAAGCCATCAGGAGTTGCCTGATATTCATAAAGATAAATCGTTAATCTAGAATTTTTACTTTCGCATGTACGACTTGATAAATATTTGCCCATCGTTAAATACATATATAAGTTACAATATATTTTTTACATTTGTTTTAATTTCATAAATTCAGATCTAGATGCATTTCGATTAATTCAACGTACTGTTTAAAATATCGGCATGTGCGAGGAAACTTATGTGCACACTTGAGATCGATAACTGAGTCTTTGTTTGTTATACCCCCGAAACGAAGACTTTCATATTTCATATGTGTATTCCTTGTGGCAAGACTTTTCTTTGGGTACAGCTAAATTAGACCTGGACCTTGACCTTGGAATTTGACCCACTTTAACAACAAATTTCCAAACTTTTACTTTGGCCATATCTTTTGAACAGTAGATAACAGGACTTTTATACTTCACATACAAATTAGTTTTGGAAAGACCTTTTATTGAGTACCAACAACTTTGACCTTTTGACATTGACCTTGGAGATTTCCGTACTTATGAAAGAGCTTCAACCTTAGCCATAACTTTTGAACGGTAAGGGCTAAGGCTTTCATACTTCACATATGTAATTCTTGTGAGAAGCCGCTTCATTGGATACCGAGAACTTTGACTTTTGTTAACCTTGACCTTGGTGTTTGACGTACTTTTAGATACAACCTTGACCATATTTTTTGTGGGTTAGGACTATGGCTTTCATACTTCAAATATTTAATCCTTATGAAAAAAACCTTTCATTTGATATCAAGAACTTTGACCTTGGAGTTTGACCAATTTTTAAACAAAAAATCCAAACTTTTACTTTGGCCCTAATATCCAAATGGTAGATACTAGGAACAATATATTTTAAACATCAATTCTTTGTGGCAAGACCTTACATTTGAAACCAACAATTTTGACTTTTGACCTTGACCTTGGAAATTTTCCTACTTACGAAAAAAACTTGACTATAACTTTTGAACGGTAAGAACTAGGGATTTCATACTTTTCATATGTAATCTTTAAGACAAGGCCTTTCTTTAGAAACAAACAACCCTGACCCTTTGACCGCGAAGTTTGTCCTACCTTTAAAAACGTTAACATTTGTCAAAACCTTTGAATAGGTAGTGCTAGAGTTTTATATTTCACATTTTTATTTCTTGTGAAAGGCCTTACTTAAGGTACCAACATATTTGATCTGTATTTGAGAAAGCTTAACCTTCGCTATGTTGCCATACGATGGCATCTGTGTTTCACAAACACATCTTGATTTTTTTAACGTCCCTCAAAAGTAGTTTTAATCATCTATTTGTGTAATCAGTACATCGTCTCAAGCCACGGTCCGGAGTCCGCATATATAGCCAGATGGGAGAGGAGCGTACATTTTGGCCGTGGTTTGCGACGATGTAATCAGTAGTGCTCGTTTGAATCTTGGATATATTTTTTATCTTACCTCACAGCTTCTGAATAACCACTGGTGGCTTGAGAAGAATTCGTTGTCTGAAGGAAAACAAAATTAATATTAATAATATCTATTAATAGCTGTTTTATGAAAGGACTTCTGAACGCTGAAAAATCGCGATTATCTTTTCAAAAACAATTAAAAGATAACTGTTTTTGCCCATTACATAAATACGTTTAAGGTAAAGGTTAAAGGATAAAACGCATGTTTATCATGTACACAAATGTTTTTACAATCTTTGAAAAAAGCAAATCATAAGTAATACTTACTTGCCTACTTCCTCGTAGTATTTCATGATTAATAACCCTAAAGAAAACGAATTTCAACCAAGCATTTTTTCACATTCCATAGAAAATCGAACATAGTAAGAGACCTACATATACAAGTAGAACTAGAGAACAATAATGTAGTGAACAGTTTATCCATCAATCTGTAAAATCTATCCAAACTATAGAGAATTATTTTGCCAGTTTTCCTTTAATCAGTTTAAGGTTGACTCCACAGAATCAAAAACCCCATAAGCTTGTATATTTCTTTTTAAAAATATTTTTCTTTTTTTTTTAACTATTACGAAAAACATTTATAAAGAATTAAATAAAAATGTCACATCATGAAAAAAATTATAAAAGCAGTACAAAAAAATAATTCGATACCCATATACATGTAAATCGAAATGGATCTGCTTGAAAATTAAATACTTGTTTAAAAAGTTTATTTAAATTAACACAAAAATACTATGGTTTACATGCAGAGAGACACATTCGTATAAAGTAGAGCTATTTCAGAACTACTAAAATACGAGTGCTATCTGGTAAAATAAAACTATGGACAAAGCGTTTTTCTCGAGAGAATTTTTTTCATTTGAATTCAAAACTTCCAAACAATGAAAACAGACCCAGGTTATGCATACATTATTATTATTATTCGTATAATTATTCGGTGGTAAATAAGAGTAAAGCATTTTTTTCTGTTTTGTAACTTACCAATTAGCTGATGAATATCCACTCGAATTTGTTCTCTGCATGAAAATATAACTTTAAGAAAAAAATCCGATGCAGACTTTTGAAAACACAATTAATAAAATGATACTTTGATAATATGAAATAATATCTATATCTGTTAATTTCAAGGAATATTTCATATGAATTAAAAAAAATAAAATGAAGTCGATGAATACACGTACGTATCGATATGATATACGAGGGTTGTCCAAAAAGTTCGTGGACAATGACGTTTTTGTGAAAATAAATGGTTTTATATCAATCTTCTGTATGAAGGATATGGAGATAACGAACAGTATTCAATCAAAATATTTATTATGAAAAACTAATCGGAATGATTTAATTTTTATTGATGGAACGTAATATTTTTTGTAAAAATTGGGGTCTTTAAAGGTCGCAGAAAGAGCGCACGGACTAAGGTTAAAATGACATAATCTCTGATATAAAGTGTTGGGATTAAAATGATTATTTTCTATATAAAACAAGTCAAAAATCAATAAAAATTTCATGTAACAACAAATACAGAGGCTATAACCATTTTAAGATATATTAAGTATCGCTTACTATATAGACAGTGGAAATACTATACAAAAACCCTAACAAACATGTGTCAAAACTCAACCAAAAAAGCGACGTCGGCCGTCCGCACAGGACAGCGTCCGATCAAAAAAATAGTTTTATACGGTTGAAACAACGTATGAGACAAATATGTGTTTAAACAACTCAAAATTATTGAAATATGTTTAGTTTCACGGTAACTACGGTAGTGCTCTTTTGCATTCTCTATCAGATTTGTCTTCCGCTACGCTATGTGGGAGTGTAGCGTGAACGGCAACTCTGGATAGAGAATGGCTCTTTTGCAGATTGGTATTTTTTTTAATTTTCAGCGGTGTGTACAAATTCGAAGACACAAGAATTTAAAAAGACATGTTATTTACTGAAAATGGAGATTTCTATTCATGACGTTGTTATAAATCCAGCGCAGCGTCGGACTGGGCTGTGCAGTTTGTGTATACAAACTGTTTATTTAGATGACGCTCGTAAATTTGTGTACAATGTTTTGAATTTTAAAAAAATAAATAAATTATTATCTCTACTTAAAGATTATTGCTAGCACTTGAAAGTACGTTGCGCCTTAAAAAAGAAATGAAGTGTGTGCATGAACATGTGTTTAGTCAAAATACAAATGTTGACGTTATAATGAAATTAGCTCAACGTCAGACTGGTCCGTGCGCACAATCTGCGATCTTTAAAGACCCCGATTTTTGCAAAAATATTAAGTTTCCTAAATAAAAAATAAACCATTCTGACTTGGTATTTCCTGAGAAATATTTTGATATACCATAGATGCATATAGAACCATTTATATTGACAAAAACGTCATTGTCCACGAACTTTTTGGACAACCCTCGTATATAACAAGAAAATTGAATATATATGCATTAGATATTTAGACAAATTATTGCATTAACAATTGCCTAACAAAAAGTCTAAAAACATCTTTCAGCTTTTGACAAATGATATATTGTATCTGCTGAGAAGTTAAGTTTCAATCCTAGAACTTGTGAAAGAAATACTTTAAAAGAGAATGCTCGCAAAAGGTAGTATCCGCCATATATTGTTTGTTCATCGCTGCTGTCCCTTGCAGCCCTATATATGCCGTAGACAATTCACAGTGTAGAGGTACATGTATGACGAGTATGGACGTACATCTTACATTGCCGTGTTACTCGGTCGCGATGAAATTATCAAATTCGCACTTTTTTCCGAGCCAAGGTTTGAGAAACATTAAATATACGAGTCAATGTTTTACCGTATAAGTGGAAATGTTAGCGATTTTTCCTTAAAAACTGGAATTCTTATTTTTAGCGAGAAGTAATTTTAGCGATTTTAAAATGCTCACCAAAGAAGTAAGTATACACAATTTATTTTAGATATTCAATTTTAGCTATCTCAACAGTCTCGCTAATAAAGCCAAAATTAAATCCTCGCTAAAATATCTACTTTTACGGTATTAACCAACAGAAAATGGTTGCCCGCATTCCTCAGTGGTTAGAGCGTCTGCTCTAGTATGGCCAGATAAGAAGTTGAGCCTTACGTCGCGGATTCGATGCCCACGGTGGGATGCGGAGACCGGTCCCTCGGGTGAGACGATATTTACAGAGGTCCCGTGTCGCTGTATATAGGTGCTGGCACGAAAAAGACCCCTCACTGCTCAATGGTCGTAAGTGCCGAGTACAGGACAAAATTGCAGCTGTTCACCGGCAAGTGGTGGCGTCTCTGAGTAAAGAATTCTCGAGAGCTACGTTAAACAACATACAATCCAACAACCAGAAGTAAATGCACCAAAAAAATGCATAAAAACTAAAACAACAAAAGAAATACTACACGTCGGAAATGGGTTTCAAGAGGGCAATTACGAAATGTGTTTACATGTATATACATGTGTGATGGTGCCTTTTATGAAATTGGCCTGATGCTGTTGTGTATCGAATAAAGTTAAGTAAATTGCCGTAAGAAGACTTGAAGTTTTTTTTAAATGACCATCTAGTAAAATAGGTGAGTTTTTAATAAAAAGATATTACCTGATCGGTACCATTGGTTAAGTGACTCTGGTCAAGTGACGAAGGCAAAAAGGAAAAATTCTAAAATATTTGAATGATTTTGTTACAATTTAGATCTGCAATGCATATAAGAGGTAACATATAGTCCTGGATATCATATTTAAATACATAAAAAGAAGTGTAATAATATCGAAGCTAGTTTAAGGAAGTTTGGAGTAAGAAATGTTTTTAAATGCAATAACATATATGACTCTGTACAAAATATGTCCTTAAATCGCAATTTCATTTCCTTGGCACAGTGAGATGAAAGTTTGAGGCATTTATTGGCACGATAAAAAATGAAATATGAAGGAAAAACACAGTACTCAAGCTCAAAAAACATGCAAACAGTCAGAACAAATTAGGACCATAACAATTCAAGACGACCCTTAAAACTTAAGATGTGGGATCAGGTGCCATATAGAGGAATGAGCATTCACTGTAAACCGATCACACCCCTCTGTGCTCCCTGACATGATCGGAAAATAACGGGAAAATCTGTCTTCAATTCAGCGTGTAGAAGGCCTAACACATAGCTGACAAAAAATGATAGATTGTTAATGCTCACAGGGTCGTTTTATCTACCAAATAAACTTAGAAAATGATTATTTCAAACGACACTGTAGATATTCTTGTTTCATCAATTTTTATGGTTAATAACTAAGTATGATACGTTAGATTTTGTGATATATCCTTAACTTCAACTTCGCTTGGATATATTGTGTCGCGATATGAATGGAAAAAGCCCTTGTTAAAGGACAATATGTCATCGATATATCTAGATGTCAAGTTGCTTTTTATTTCAAATATAAATTTTGAACAAACTCTGCTTGACATGAATCAAAAATAGTATTACGAAGGCTTGCATGCAATTGATATTTGGTTAGATAGCAGTCAAAATTTATACCGTTGCGTTTTCCAATTTTGATAGGACATAAGATAAAAGGGGTCAACACTTTAATTTCAAAACATTCATCATTTATTTTATGAAAGAAATTTTGTCTTTCACTATTCTTTTTTCACAAATTTCGTTTTAAAATTCTTAAAACTTCGGGTTTGATAACATCTTTTTTCCATTGCTAGCAAAATTTACACAAAGCCCTTGACTCTTTCTATTTAATAATTCATTGCCATTGCACCTGTATTATGAAAATTACATAATCCTTTCACAGATGTTTTCTTTTAATATCCTTCCTTGTTGATATATTCACGGACAAACAACAATGTCATCAAAAATGTGAATGAATGTCACTCGATTATATTTTTTCTTACAGCTAACATTGGGAATTACCTTTCTTTCTCTTTTACATTTGTACCTCTTTTCCTTATTATATAAAAATGAAAGACACTTGGACATAACTCTTGCCCGAGTTTCTAAATCCTGTTGTTATTCAAAAGATTTTTTTAAGATTGTTTTGATAAATAATCTATTATAGCTAGTCTCTCGGAGACATGATTGAACCAAATTAAACGATGAATCATGGTGTACTAGTATCTTTAACATGATCCTGCCGTTCTTGCAGATATAAAAAGATTACAAAAATCCTATTGGCTTGCATTATGTAAATACATATCCAATTAAGGTCCCACCTTTACCGAAAGGCCCATTACTTCTAAAAGGATTTGCAATATAACTTGCAATTTTTGCAAATAAATACAAGTATGTTTTACAGTGTTGCATCTCGACCTTTACCTCAAAATAAACTCGAATCTACTCTGCTGGAGATTAATGTGACACTTCATGGCCAAGCTGCTCTTGTGAAATAGATTTTGTTCTTATGATTTTGGAAGTTTCCCCTAGCTGATCTCTTATTGTATGTATGAAATATGGTCGCCTTGGCAGTCAGTGTTCGACCATTATGAAAATATATAAAGAAATTAAGGTCACTGTCTTTTATTTGTAAGTTTAAGACATATATACAAATATCCCTCAAACCTGATATAATGTTTAAAAATTATTTATACTTTTTGAATTTTTGCAGTCAAGATCGATTGTTTATTCTATAATTTATTGTTTGTTTTTTTGTTTTTAGCTGCGTCGGTCGGGAGTATTCCGCAATTATGAATTAACATATTTATAATATAGATTTGTACTTTATTCATATAATTTCTTAGAGGTACTACATTTACACTTTTTTGAGAGATATGAAATTTAAGGTCCTGAGAAGATATATAAATTTATGTCATTCTTTCAAATTATTGAATTAAAAGAGAAATAATTTAATAGTTGTTGTCAAAGAATGACAAAATTTTCATAGAAATTAATTCTTTTTTTCTTTTAATTTTTAATCTTCCTTTTATTGTACTCTTGTTAATTTAACTAATATCTTATTACATAAATGTTGAAGCAATAAAGAAAGCAAAACAAAATATAGTTTATAGAATATATTCGCGGTAGTTTCCACACTACATAATGAAGA